GACACGAGACAGGCAGAGAATTCCACCTATTAGCGCCAAGGAAAGACATAGAGAACATGCCTTATCTAGTGGTAGCAGCGGGCAAAGAAAATGAAGAGAATGATTGCCCTCTAGTGCGCCTCTCGGTGCAAGTAGCAGCCGACTGGAGGGTGAACATTGAGTATTGCATTCATTGGTTTGGGGGACAGATGCAAACGGGAAAATTCTGAAGAAAACAATGACTGTCACCACCAGGACTCGAACCAGGGACCTTTGCTTGTAGCCAGCGATGCCCCAACCACTGAGCTATGGTGTAGCTGTCATCCCAGCAGAGACCGTCCAACATTTTCTTCAGAAAAAAAAGCATTCACTGGTTTGAGGGAAAGACACTAACGGGAAACGTCTGAAGAAAGAATTGACTCAGCCACCAGCAGGACTCGAACCAGGTACCCTCGCCTGTATAGCTGTTGTACTAATAATATTTCGTTCGTCCCAGTCCAAGGACTGCTGCTGCAAAGCCGACGGTTGAGAAATGTGTGACACAGGCTAGACTAGACGACCTTGCCTTTTTGCATGATGTCCGAGTTTGAAGTTTTGAAATGAAGTGCGAAGCAGTTCAACTTTTCACTCGCAAAGTGGTCACAGGCCTGTGGAAGAAGATGCGATCAAGCATTATTGGTCAGGAAGACATGCCCGCACAAGAAATACTCGCACATGCGCATAGCCTTCCAGAAACCTGAGAGATGTGAGGTAAAATGTGGGACGGCCTACCGGGCCCAGCGCACTGTCTTCCAATCGTCACACATACCCGTGCATTGTAGCAAGAGAAGAAAATGTACATGTAGATTATACTCTTGAGTGCACACGTATCGCCAAGGCAGGACTATTGTATTTGTATTGTATTTTATTATAGTTAAGGATTTCCCAAAGGCTTTGGGCCTGTAGTGTCGAGAGGAGCTCCTGCAAGAAGAACGAAATGACTACTTTATGTAGAGGAATCGAGGATAGGCTAAGGAAATAGATCGAGGCACACAAAGTATCCTTAATTAAAAAGCTCCTGTACGTGCTATCACCTTGCAGTGGCAAGCTGGATACAGCTAGCTATGGCCATGTACCACATACACCACATAAAACAACATTGGCGCTGCTCACTGACTCATTTGGCGCCAATCAAGAAACGCCATTCACGGATACAGCGCGCCGCGCGCACCAGTCTGTGGAAACCAACACTTTTAAAACAGCATACGCGATGACGTCACCGTCGTGTTGTGTGGCACAGGATCCACGGATGATGCCATTATAATACCAAGAATCAGCGCGCGGCCACACTGACAAGCTCAGGAGCGGCATCACGGAAAACGCTAATGCAAATGGACCAGTAGACCTGTCGAAACCTACATAATTTATTATGTACATGTACAAACTGCCTGATCCGAGGATTGGCGTGCGGACACACTGACAAGCTTAGTAACAGTGGCGGCGTCACGGAAAACGTACAGGAAAATGGACGAGTAGACCTGTCGAAATCTAAATGTCCAAACTGCTCAGGGGCGGGTATAGTCTCGTCGACGAAGAAGAAGAAGTCACAACAACTGCTTTTGGTGCTGGAGAAAGTGTTTGTTCGGGTCGTCAGAGCTCGGTACTCGTGGATGCGAGTGTCTTTGTTGGCGCAAGAGGAGGAATTTTCAGATCTGCGTCCTCGTTTGGAGTCGATAAATAGGTGCTTCTATCGGTAAGTCATTCCTCCAATGAATCGAATCACAGCGAGTTTATTTCGTTCAAAACGGTTCTTACCTACACGTGTATGTTTATGGAAAGAAGGCCCGGGGATTTTGTGGCGTGATAGCGAGCGATTATTGCACGGAACATGCTGTGGTAGGGTCGCTACATCGCTACTGTAGGGCATTCATTTTGGGTGTGGGATCGGCGGGGAGGGGGAGGGGGGGGGGTTGAGTATTCTCATGAATGATTGTATCCTTACAATGCTAACACTATGACCTCTGGTCGGTTGAGCTGCTCAATGTTCATCAGCACTTCGCCTCTACCTTTGCTGTGTCTTGCTTTACGTTCTTCTTCACATGTTTACATTACGTTCTCGGCGGGGGAATGTTCGTAGAAAAACAATTAAAACCCCGCTCCGCGAAGCGATAATTTTAAAAGATTTTCACCACTCCTGCATCTCATGAATCGCCACGGGCTTGTGCAGCAGAAGTGTGACCGATCAAGCAGAGTTCAGCGGCAACCTTGGAGACCTCGGCGACTGCTTCCTGCCCTCTGCTGTTTAATTCAAGACCGAAGTCGGAGAAGAAGAAGAAGAAAGTTTCAGACTACTAGTATCTAGTGGTGAAGTGAGAAGACACGAGACTCATTGGGAGGCCATGGGTAACAGTAATATTATGCGCTGATCACCAGCCTATGTACAGTCAGTCAGTCTTTCGAGTTCAGTGGAAATGCATGTCGAAACGTGAGTGGTTCCAGTCTGTACGTCTTGGATATCCCAAATTCAATGGCCCTATGTTTTGATCCCATTGAGTCTTTGTATTGTTGTGCCCTAGTCTAAGCATTGCTGCCGCAAGACCACCCGTTGAGGATTAACTCCGCAGTATTGTGTGGTTGTAATGCAGAACCCAGCCTGGACCTAGATACCTTGCCATTCTGCACACCTTTCGGCAGACCTCTGGCAATCCTGGCAGTGTGAAGAATTGAGTTGAAGATCGAAGCACTTCCACCTAGCCAAAGGGCGGCGACATGTTCCGGAAGGAGACGGGAAAAGGCATCAGTTACGTTTTAGAGACATACCGATATAAGAAAGGCTTGCACATGCGCATTCCGCATAATGGTGACTGTGAATGAGGGACGGACTACTGAACTACATGTATACAGCAGTTTACCGTACGCATGCCTTCGACTCTTCGCACATACTCTACACGTACAGGACCATCGACGTTGTGACGTCGACGGTTAACGTCCATGCGTTTGAAACCTCGACAGTGGATACAGACTCAGTCATGACGATCAATCACGTACAGAAACAGCTCTGCGCTTACAGACTCAGTGGTGACAATTTTGACAAGCCACACACTGACAGGGATGCTGGAAAATCGCGCCGGGCCACTGACTCATTTGGCGCCAATCAAGAAACGCCATTCACGGATACAGCGCGCCGCACCAGTCTGTGGAAACCTACACTTTTAAAACAGCATAGGCGATGACGTCACCGTCGTGTTATGTGGCACAGGATCCACGGATGATGCCATTATAATACCAAGAATCAGCGCGCGGCCACACTGACTGACAAGCTCAGGAGCGGCATCACGGAAAACGCTAATGGAAATGGACCATTAGACCTGTCGAAACCTACATATGTACATGTACAAACTGCCCGATCCGAGGATCGGCGTGCGGACACACTGACCTGCTCAGTGGCGGCGTCACGGAAAACGTACAGGAAAATGGACGAGTAATCCTGTCGAAACATAAATGTCCAAACTGCTCTGTGGCGGGTATAGTCTCATAGCCGAAGAAGAAGTCACAACAACTGCTTTTGGTGCTGGAGAAAGTGTTTGTTCGGGTCGTCAGAGCTCGTTACTCGTGGATGCGAGCGTCTTTGTTGGCGCAATCAGATCTGCGTCCTCGTTTGGAGTCGATAAATAGGTGCTTCTAGCGGTAAGTCATTCCTTCAATGAATCGAATCACAGCGAGTTTATTTCGTTCAAAACGGTTCTTACCTACACATGTATGTTCATGGAAAGAAGGCCCGGGGATTTTTGTGGCGTAAAACCCCACTCCGCGAAGCGATAATTATGATTTTCACCACTCCTGCATCTCATGAATCGCCACGGACTTGTGCAGCAGAAGTGTGACCGATCAAGCAGAGTTCAGCGGCAACCTTGGAGACCTCGGCGACTGCTTCCTGCCCTCTGCTGTTTAAATCAAGACCGAAGTCGGAGAAGAAGAAGAAAGTTTCAGACTACTAGTATCTAGTGGTGAAGTGAGAAGACACGAGACACATTCCGAGGTCATGGGTAACAATACGCGCTAATCACCAGCCTATGTACAGTCTGTCTTTCGAGTTCAGTGGAAATGCATGTCGAAACGTGAATGGTTCCAGTCTGTACGTTTTGGATATCCCAAATTCAATGGCCCTATGTTTTGATCCCATTGAGGCTTTGTATTGTTGTGCCCTAGTCTAAGCATTGCTGCCGCAAGACCACCCGTTGAGGATTAACTCCGCAGTATTGTGTGGTTGTAATGCAGAACCCAGCCTGGACCTCGATACCTTGCCTTTCTGCATACCTTTCGGCAGATCTCTGGCAATCTTGGCAGTGTGAAGAATTGAGTTGAAGACCAAAGCAGTTCCACCTGGCCAAAGGGCGGCGACATGTTCCGGAAGGAGACGGGAAAAGGCATCAGTTACGTTTTAAAGACATACCGATATAAGAAAGGCTTGCACATGCGCATACCGCATAATGGTGAGTGTGAATGATGGACGGACTAGTGAACTACAGCAGTTTACCGTACGCATGCCTTCGACTCTTCACACATACTCTACACGTACAGGACCATCGACGTAACTCGTTGTGACGACGGTTAACGTGCATGCGTTTGCAATCTCGACAGTGGATACAGACTCAGTCATGACGATCAATCACGTACAGAAGCAGCGTTGCGCGTACAGACTCAGTGGTGACAATTTTGACAAGCCACACACTGACAGTGATGCTGGAAAATCGCGCCGGGCCACTGACTCATTTGGCGCCAATCAAGAAACGCCATTCATGGATACAGCGCGCCGCACCAGTCTGTGGAAACCTACACTTTTAAAACAGCATAGGCGATGACGTCACCGTCGTGTTATGTGGCACAGGATCCACGGATGATGCCATTATAATACCAAGAATCAGCGCGCGGCCACACTGACAAGCTCAGGAGCGGCATCACGGAAAACGCTAATGGAAATGGACCAGTAGACAGACCTGTTGAAACTTACATAATATGTACATGTACAAACTGCCCGATCCGAGGATCGGCGTGCGGACACACTGACCTGCTCAGTGGCGGCGTCACGGAAAACGTACAGGAAAATGGACGAGTAGACCTGTCGAAACGTAAATGTCCAAACTGCTCTGTGGCGGGTATAGTCTCATCGACGAAGAAGAAGAAGAAGTCACAACAACTGCTTTTGGTGCTGGAGAAAGTGTTTGTTCGGGTCGTCAGAGCTCGTTACTCGTGGATGCGAGCGTCTTTGTTGGCGCAATCAGATCTGCGTCCTCGTTTGGAGTCGATAAATAGGTGCTTCTATCGGTAAGTCATTCCTCCAATGAATCGAATCACAGCGAGTTTATTTCGTTCAAAACGGTTCTTACCTACACATGTATGTTCATGGAAAGAAGGCCCGGGGATTTTGTGGCGTGATAGCGAGCGATTATTGCACGGAACATGCTGTGGTAGGGTCGCTACATCGCTACTGTAAGGCATTCATTTTGGGTGTGGGATCGGCGGGGAGGGGAAGGGAGGGGGGTTGAGTATTCTCATGAATGATTGTATCCTTACAATGCTAACACTGTGACCTCTGGTTGGTTGAGCTGCTCAATGTTCATCGGCACTTCGCCCCTACCTTCGCTGTGTCTTGCTTTACGTTCTTCTTCACATGTTTTCATTACGTTCTCGGTGGGGGAATGTTCGTAGAAAAACAATTAAAACCCCGCTCCGCAAAGCGATAATTATGATTTTCACCACTCCGGCATCTCATGAATCGCCACGGGCTTGTGCAGCAGAAGTGTGACCGATCAAGCAGAGCTCAGCGGTAACCTCGGAGACCTCGGTGACTGCTTCCTGCCCTCTGCTGTTTAATTCAAGACCGAAGTCGGAGAAGAAGAAGAAGAAGAAGAAGAAGAAAGTTTCAGACTACTAGTATCTAGTGGTGAAGTGAGAAGACACGAGACTCATTGGGAGGCCATGGGTAACAATACGCGCTGATCATCAGCCTATGTACAGTCAGTCAGTCTTTCGAGTTCAGTGGAAACTCATGTCGAAACGTGAGTGGTTCCAATCTGTACGTCTTGGATATCCCAAATTCAATGGCCCTATGTTTTGATCCCATTGAGTCTTTGTATTGTTGTGCCCTAGTCTAAGCATCGCTGCCGCAAGACCACCCGTTGAGGATTAACTCCGCAGTACTGTATGGTTGTAATGCAGAACCCAGCCTGGACCTCGATACCTTGCCATTCTGCACACCTTTCGGCAGACCTCTGGCAATCCTGGCAGTGTGAAGAATTGAGTTGAAGATCGAAGCACTTCCACCTAGCCAAAGGGCGGCGACATGTTCCGCAAGGAGACGGGAAAAGGCATCAGTTACGTTTTAGAGACATACCGATATAAGAAAGGCTTGCACATGCGCATTCCGCATAATGGTGACTGTGAATGAGTGACGGACTAGTGAACTACAGCAGTTTACCGTACGCATGCCTTCGACTCTTCACACATACTCTACACGTACAGGACCATCGACGTAACTCGTTGTGACGACGGTTAACGTCCATGCGTTTGCAATCTCGACAGTGGATACAGACTCAGTCATGACGAGCACCTGAGACCGAGGGTACCTGTGGAGCGATAAAATGCCAAGCAAACAGAAGAAAGGAATCACAAGCCAATACACGCTAAACTGCGCTTGAGTTATATTGAAGGGGAAAACCGGAGCTCAAGAAAATTATAACATACAAAGTCATAATAAGAAGTCAACTGGATGAGAAGTAGCACAAGCAAACATGTGTGATTTCACAAGTGCGCAAACCAACAGTCTTCCAGCTTGGAAGGTTCAATTTTATAGTAGGACCAATGAGGGGAAGGTGAGCGCAGCGAAAATGTGCACAAGCTAAGTCTCACAGCAACAAAAATGCTACAGCGACTGTTACAGGACCATGACGGGACCAGTTAATAACATGACAATGTGGTCTAACTACTTGATTGCTTGCCACACTGGAGCTCGGGCTTTTCCCACCGACCTGACTTGACAGACAAACCAAATCACAGCGAGGTTATTTCATTCAAAACGGTTGTTACCCATTTGAATGCGCATGCTGTGGGAGAAGGAAACAATAATTGTTCAAGGATGGTAACCCCTTCGTCCACTCCCTTCACATCGGAAAACAAAACTCGCTCTTTCCCTTTGCGGACCTTTGCCATACCTCATAATAGGATAATCATGTGCAATGTTGTAATTGTTCCGTGTCGTTGCTTTGTCAAGGGATGGCTGTCCGCAGGTTTCTGCCTGGCCCTTTTCTGGGGCTGGCCAGTCTCCTTGTGCTGACTTCGGCGGGAATGGTGCAGTCAATCCCGCGTCTATTCACGGTCATTAACTCTGCGACCTGCCGCTACCGTTATCAATTGCCGACTGACAAGGTGGGAACGTGTGACTATCCGCGTTGCTGGGTGGCTCCAAACCTCCTCCTTACCGAAAGTAAGTATGTATACATGAGTATGCCCATAGAACCACTGGCATTCCTACACCTCAGCAGTAATTGCACATCACACTTTCCTTTGAAGTTTTATTGTCTCATTCCATGTGTCGGGCTAATTTATTCTATCCCCCCCCCCCTCTCCCCCCCCCCCCCTGTTATGCTACCTATTCAATATCGCACAAGGGGAGGACCCCTCGATAGGTTACCTGCCTCTGGGTCATCCCTCAAATAAAAAAATAATAATAATAATAGCAATACATGTATTGTATGTATGTGCCAGTAAACCATATCCAGAAGTAGTCACGTGGGTGTCAATCAAGACTCAAGAGAAAACAAAATCCTGAATAAACGGCGAGGAGACAATAATTTGACAACCGCAATCAATAAGACAAGCTGAATCGACATTTGTGCATACTTTTATTCATGCAATGTAAACGGTGGAGACAACGTGCAATAAAATGATGAAAGTAGGAAGATTAGAAAAGAGAGGACCATAAATTTACGAGTTATCATGCTCGCCCCTTTTTTCGCAATGTTTCGTTGTTTAGGAAGAAATCGCAACTTTCGCAACTTTCTTCATTTTCGCGAACTATTTCGCAACTTTTCCGCAACCTTGGACCCATGGCATGGGGTCAAAAGGTCAAGTCACAGACTACATGTCGGACAAATGGATACTAGTACTCGCTCATTTCTCGCCTGCCTTCAGAGTTCAGACTCATTTCAGACAAACAGTAGATCAACGGTATTTACGACTAGGGGTAAGCGGATTTTGCCAGCATAATTTGTGGCATAATCAGGTCCATTTTTGAGAAGGAGCACAAAATGGCATCCGAAAAACAAGGGCATATGCCCAATGAGGCTGCTATACACACCTGCTATTGAAGGATTGAAGGCATAATTGTTGGCATAATCAGGTCCTTTTTGAGAAGAAAAATAAAACGTGGTTTGTCAACTGACAACCGCTCTATTTAGTTGCAATTCACTCTTGGCGCATGCGCTGGATGAAAATTCCATTATTAGATGTCGAAAATTATTGACGTTTCGGGCCAGTCACCCATCGTCAGAACAATTAACACCACTTTCTTTTTGAGAAGGAGCATAAAATGGCATCCGAAAAACAGGGGCAGATGCCCAATGAGGCTGTTATATACATGTACATACCTGCTAAGGACCATACATGTATATGGTGCATCTTGTCGATTTGGAATAATTATTTTAGCAGCCACTATAGGACAGCTCCCAAAAGTTCAGCGTTTGCTTGTGAGGTTGGTATTCCTTTTCCTTTTTCGGAAAAGGAATACAACAATGACCTAGCCGGCTGTCTCTGTTCTCTTCTACCTTTGTAGTAATGCTCCATCCTTGTGGTGTTGAGCACTCTAGGCAATCTGGGAAATCTCGCTATTGTAAAGTTACTCTATGTAGGCAGGGCATATGCTGCAAACCAGTAACCAACGGTTTTCTTCCGGATGGCGAGGGATCCGGATAAGCGAGGTCTGATTTATTGCAAAAAGAATGCTCTCCTTGGCTCTGCAGCTATCCTGCGTAAGGTCCTTGATTTGTAATGCTCTGGGGTGGGTGGTGGAGTTCTTTCGGTCCTATCTTCCTCCAAACTCTCTCGTGTTTCCAATGGTCGATATTTAAAAAGCGCTGTGTGTTTCTCGCTGTTGTTTACCTACCGTCATATTGATTTTAACATCCATATGATTCATGGCCCCACCTTTGGCTGCTGGATGCTAGCCCCGTGGGTGTCAATCTGCTGGTGGGTAATTAAATTGTTGTCTCCAATCAAGACTGTCGTCTTCAATGCCTGGAAAACCAGGCGAAGAATTTATACTTGCCCCTTTCCACACCGACCCATGGCAAATAAAGAAAGTTGGCAATGATTAAAAAAACTCTAGAAAGGACATGAAATGAGTTTAAAAACGCTAGTGGAGTAAGGACACTTACCAAACTTGTTGAACAGCGTGGGCTGCTGCAAAACATGCCTATTTGTGCGTTCGTGTCCCAGTGCTATATGCGTCAATCGTCCGTGCCGTTCATGCTGCTTTGCGTGATTTCAGCAACTACATCGTTGCTTTTTAACTTTCTTGAATGCACCGAGCCAAGGATGGGTATCGCATGTTACCGGTATCACATGAGCTGATTGTCAAGTAACTGGTGGTGTTGGTGGACATTATAGCGTAACTTGTAGTGCAGGCAGGTATAGTGCAATGGTCTAAGACCATGATTGAGAAGCAGAGGGTACTAGTACCAGGTTTGAGTCCTGCTTGGAAGCGGAAGGGTTTTTTTCCCAAGTTGGGAACCCGTGGCCTGGCACGAGGGAAACATGGATGCAGTGAATGGGATTTTCGGTCTTTGACCACTTTGCTGGTGTGCTGATCTACATGTATTCACCTCCTACCGCTTTATAATACCGTAACGTCGCGGATAAAAGCCGGGCTTATAAGCATATAAGCCGCTTTCTGCATCAGGATTTAATGCAAACCAGTCTTACATGCACCACTGCATATTTTTTGCCAGGCTTGTATGCACGCTTCTGCGCGCGACACGCGTAGATCTACCACTGACTACCGGTATGGCGGCAGTTTTACTATGCACCGTACATAGCGCATGCACTCTTGACCTACCCGATCCGCGCTTGCACAGAAGCCAGGCTTCTACGCGCGACAGGCTTCCACATATATGCATTTGACCCGTTTGATTTTCGGGCTTCTATCCGCGATGGGATTGTATGCAAACCCGGCTTTTATCCGCGACTTTACGGTAATATCAGGACCTGCATCTGCGCCTTTGACCTTTGCCGGGTGCTGGCGTTCCTACGGGTGCTGAACACTCAGTCCAACTCAGTCTCAAGCGAACCGTGAAAAAATTGTAAATATAGTTCCTTGGTCCTTTTCTTTTAAGGGCGATTCATACTTTATTTCTCGTACGGGAAACACGTTGTTGCGTCACGAAAAAGTTGATCTGAGCTCAACTTTCGCGTGCGGGAAAGCCATCGCGCGATGGTCGCGCGATGACTTTCCCGTACGCGAAATGAAGTATGAACCGGCCTTTAGGATTACTTACTGTTTTACTTAAGTTCATAACCTTTCAACTGCTGCCACTGCATATGTTTGCCTTCCGATAGATGTCACAGTGCCTTTTGCAAGCGAAGAGATATGCATCGTGCGTGCACCGCGTGATTCATCATACATCGAGCTTTTCTTCGAGCTGCCTGACACCAGCTTTTCGAGCCCGGATTGCAATAAGAACACGGTGTACAACCGCGTCCTGGTGCAGAAGGTAAGTATTAATTGCATCTCTCACTCGGGAGCTTGAATTTCCGACGTGCTTGCCGGCTCCTTCAACTTGTTTACCCTATCCTGGGAAACCTGAACGGACATTCAGGTTGTGGGTGGGTCTCAGCAAGTGTATCTTTGCTTTGTTCTTGTATGAAAAGAGACCGCATGCATAATGTTATTGCGATGACATTCTAACACATTTTCTAGACAAAATGGCTGCTTTCAAGAGGCTTTCGAATCTTTTCAGGTCTAAAAGTTGGTAACAGTGCAACACCCATCTTGTCCTACAGGTTTGTATCCACTGTCGAAAACATTTCGGCGTATTCCTCTTTACAATATTCATCTGTGTTTCTGAGCCAAATTCGCCCTCTTATCGATGCCTGTAGTATCTGGAGTCATATGATGCCGCGCGGCAATTCTAGGTAGCACCCCTTGGCATTTCGGACCAGTACTCAAATTTTGGAGATACAGCCCACTGCCACTGCCACTAACACAATACAAAATAAATAAAAGTCACAAAATTTGGGGGGGGGGGATTCTAACCGACCATATCACAGCAATCACATTTTGAAATTCGCAAATGCATCCTAATGATGCCTCTGGTAGTTCAAGGGTTAAATTATTTTTTATCTATCTATCCATCGGGATGTGTTGCGTCTTGACAGGTACTTGGCAATGGCACTCAACTCAAAACCGTTCAAAATGGAGCGTTCCATTACGAAATAGCTGTCGGCAGCGCATCAGATCCTTGGTGTCGCTCCAAGAACCTCGTGCCCGTCCAGGTACCCTCCTCAGACCGCTGCGGAGTGACGGTCAAGATTGAATATCTGCACTTTAACAGTTACTACGAAGGCAACTGGCAGTTCGTCGTTCAACCTCTGACCGGAACAGGTTTGCCACCAACGATGCGCCAATTTGACATTCAGTTTACAGGCAAGCCGTGCGACACGTGTTTTGCACCTGATAGCAGTTGCGAGAGCTTGTCCTACTCTCACGTCTTTTCCGGAACCGGATTCACTGTCGTTCCAGCGCCTGTCTACAAAATCCCCATCGGGTCATCAAGGTGCTTCAGGTTCGAGGATACAAGGGGTAAGTCACTAGCTTCTTTGGGCTTTAACAAGATGCAAGATATTCGTACAGTTGAACTGAATGCATGTTGATGGGCTCTTGTTTAAACTCATTCCACTCAAAATGTTCATAGTTGCCAGTATCTGTTTGGTGGCTCAACTAGATATAACGAGAGAGCTTGGAAGCTCACGGCCCTACGCTATGCTTTTTCGCCTAGCTCATCATGCATGTGATTATAAACTTTCTCTTTGCATTCGAGGATAACACCGTCTACCACCTTGATGATCTAGGCAAAAAAGGCATAGAGATGTTATAATAACACTAAGAGCAACAGCAGTGAAACCCACAAGTGTGAATTTTAACAATCAAAGCGAGAAATGAACAAAGGAGAAAGGAAGGAAAGACAACGTGATAACACATAACAGCAGTACATTACACCTAGAACATTAACGACCAAGCTTGGCCACACTAAACACGACACGTTACTTGAACAATTTCAATCCAATTATACTATCTTTCTGTACACACAAATTAGGCTTATACAGACGCTGATAGATAGCTTCCAACACTTTTAACTGTAGTCCATAGCCATGACGACCACGGCACAATACAGTGAAAGAAGAGTCGGAATGCGAATTGCAACAATCAGGACTAGGTAGCAGATGATGGTACACTGAAGACTTGCTACCACGAAACCTACGCACAACACTAGAGAGGTTCCGGGGTACGATTTTACGTGCCAAAATCCGTGTGGGCGCTACGGATTTTTTCCAGGAGTGCTCCATACGATTTTTCGGCACGGAGAATCCGTGTGGACTGGCTTTCACACGAACCATGTTTCGTATGGAGATTTTGCGTCATCGGGTGCAGAAAGATTTTTCGCGTACAAATTTGGTACGAGAAACATGGATTTTCCGCGGGAAGTTTTGATTTCGGTACAAACTTTCAAAATAAAAAGGCATAGCGCGGGAATGTGACGTGTTTGCGATCGTAACCTAGGCAATGACGGCAAACACATAAGTGCCGTACTCCGGAACATTTCACTGCTCGAAAACGACGTATAAAAAATCCGTAGCGCCTCTACGGATTTTGGCACGAAAAATCGTACTCCGGAACCTCCCTACTAACACTCTCACCGGCACTCTCACCATCACTCCCATCACTGCTCTCCGACTCACTGCTCCCTCCTCCGTCCGTTCCATCCTCCGCTTCCTCTGTACTCTCTCTGTCTCGTCCATCCCGCCTGACCGGGTCCATTGAACTCAACTCGGCCGTCACCCTGCTATCACGTCCCTCCTTTCGCCCTTGTCCGCTGAGTGCGTAGCTTCTGTTGTAGTTGGCTGTTGATCGTCTTGGGCGGTGTTTACATGAGGCGTTTCAACCCGGGTTGAGTTCGACCCGGGTCAAATTTCAACCCGCCATGTGCATAAATGAATTGCGCGTTTACATGACGCATTGCGCTTGACCCGGGTTGAAATTTTGCCCCGGGTTGATTTCAACCCTCCCCCCAAAGGGAGGGTTGAAATCAACCCGGGTCAAGAAAATCGTACAAACGTACTTCTGTGCGTATCTCGCGCCAGGTTTGAACGGCACTGCAGATGCAAATTTCGCGCGAACAGATTCACGTGACCATACAGGCCTGTAGAAGTGGACTTTTGGCAGCATATCAGTATTTGACCCGGATCAACTGTCTTCATGTAAACGCTCATCTCTTTTGTCTATCGTACAGACTTTCAACCCGGGCTGAACTCGACCCGGGTTGAAATTTCTCATTTAAACACAGCCTTGGTCTTTCAATTATGGGCTTGGATGGTGGATTAGTTGTGGTTGCTGTAGATTGCGTTGTTGGTGTTGGTGTGGGAGCTACTGATATGCAAGGTGGGTCGTTTTGAGTCGGCATTTGTAGTGTTAATGCAGCTGTCAGTGTTGCTCGCGGTCTGCCACTAGAGTGGTTAAAATTCACACTTGTGGGTTTCACTGCTGTTGCTCCCAAGTTAGTGTTATTCCCGTAGCTATGCAGAAGACGTTACTTCAGTAACGTCTGGCGCTAGCCAGGGTCCACACAGCTTTAATTTGGTGTTTGTTTGTTTGTTTGTTTGTGTCACGGCTGGAGCTATCCCGTATCTGTCCCGTATCTGTCCCGTATCTGAGACTACAAAGGCTCTACAGGATTGTACATAACAGCTGTCCACAATATTTGCGGGCTCCTGTATCTGTCCCGTACCGTACCAATATTCGTCGTATTATGTATACGACTCCTTGATGTAGAGGGAGATTTGGAAAGAAATAGGGAGACGAAGAGGAAATTAAATTAGAATAGACGCCGATTAGGTGATAGGATGCGTCAGCATAAACATACTTTGGAAGAGAGATCCCGTCGTCTCCAAAATAAGCGTGAACGAGCGATTCAGTGCCGGTCACAGGAAACGTCGGAAGAGAGATCCCGTCGACTCCAGAACGCCCGTGATCGGTAGAGTCCGGCGGTACCAGGCAACGTCAGGACAGACATCCCTTTGAGTCCAGAACGCCCGTGATCGGCAGAGTCTAAGCCGATCCCAGGAAACGTCAGGACAGACATCTCGTCGAGTCCAGAACGTCCGTGATCGGCAGAGTCAGCGCCGGTCCCAGTAAACGTCAGGACAGACATCCCGTCGACGCGCAGAAAAACTAAATCTGCAGCCTCTTTTGCCGTCGAACAGGATACGTTTTTATATAGGAGACTGTAAATTTATGTAATGTCCAAATTTCGACGTGAGCAGCAGGTCACTCGCGTTGATTTTTCGACGTGCGAGCCAAATAACGCGATCTGAACTTTCGCGTCGCAGACATCCCGTCGACGCGCAGAAAAACTAAATCTGCAGCCTCTTTTGCCGTCGGACAGGATACGTATTTTAGGAGACTGTAAAGTTATGTGATGTGCTCCACAGGCAACCATGCATTCGGCGTCGTCATTGGCTCAACAGGTCAATGCACATGTATTACTACAAAAAGGCCAGAAAATCCGATCACTGTATTAAAATCAACTAATGTTCGCTGGCGATTTAATTTCGCTGATTTCGCCGCTTGGTACCAACCGGCCAAAGTAAATCGCAGGCCAACGTTTGTCATATAGGCAAATGATGCATGATTGAGCAATGGATGCATGTGAGAGCAAAAATACCGATCGATTTCAAATTTGACGTGAAACTGCGCGTCACGTCGGAAATAACGTTCATCTTAACCTCTCTAATAGAGAGGTTTCTATTTCTCATCGGCCAAAATTTGTTGATTTACAATATAAGGAGATAAAAAGAAAAGAAGGAGCAAAACAAAAGTAGATGATTATTAGAGAAATAACAATCCGCAATAAATTCTGCAAATACTTTTGCCTAACTCATAAGCAAACCGATTGAAACGTTTTTGCAATACAGTGATGTGGCCAATCAACGAAAAAGACATTCCCATCAGTTCTTATAACATGTACGATGAGCTAGGCAAAAAAGCATAAAAGCATAGCGCAGGGCCCTGAGCTTCCAAGCTCTCTCGTTTCTCTAACTTAGATTTTCTATAATAGATGTTATAATTTTTTTTCATTTCTCCTATTTTTTTCAAGACATAACCTGGGATTCAAACCCGCACTATCGCCCTGCATGCATTCCCCCGATACACTTCGCATACATATACTCATTCTTCCAAGTTGGTTCACGTTATGATCTTGCATTTGAAAGCCTTATTTGAATATTGTGGCCAGCTGTCTTTGATGGTAGTCTACGGTACGGGACAGGTACAGGATAGCGCCAGGCATGCCAACGACACAAACACGGAATTAAAGCTGAAGTAGCGTCTTTTGCATAGCCACGGAAATAATAATCTGTGTTTAAAGGATCTCCCAGAGGCGATGGCCTGTCTAGGGAATCTCCTGATGCAAATCATGGAATAGATTAAAAAAATAGTAAAGTTAGCCGCATGGCCCGCATCACATACTACATAATGAGCAATAAAAACAGGGCTAGGTTGTTCAAAATAAAACAATTAAATGTCCAGAGATATAATACCACTACAGTCAAATTATTTAAAACTTTTCACGTGCAACCGATATTGCTGCTGAAATTTAGATTGTGAATCTTGGGATGTCAGCCTTGGTGGAAGGCAGTTCCACAGCCTTCCGATTTTAAGCAGAAAGAGAGAAGAGGAGGTGCGGTCATGAGAATTGAAAATCAGTTTGTTTGGTCGGCGTGCACTAGAAGAGATATCAATGCGGGATAGATAATCTGGATATACTTGAACAAAACAGTGATGGAAATGTAAGTACCTGAAGTACGTCGAAAGTGAAGGGATTCCAAATTACACAGCCTATTTAAATCATTCTTCGATTCACAGCGATCAAAATCAATCTTCGCAGACCGCAGCAGGCGTCTGCAGACCTTTGATAGTAAAAGTTGCTGTTGTTTGTGAGAGATTCTCTAGCTGGATCAGTACTGCTGTATTATCGTCTGGAGAATCAAACTCTTGACTGTTGTCTGTCCATCTGTTTGTCCATCTCGCTGTGGTCCATCTTTTTGTTTCCTAGATACAAATGGTGGTTGGTTCATCGCAAGAGGAGCCACGTTAGTGGTCGCTGAGCCGCTGCAGTACTCTGAGCTGGGCGACGCAAGCGACGCCGAGGCTACACACGTTACGGTGCACAATCTTGCGCGTACATCCGTCTATGGAAACTATCAGCAGTGTGTTCATATTGACAACATGACGGCGTCGCTGGCCGGTTTGCTCCTATACAAGTTCAGCAACGACTATGCTGCCGTGAACATGAAAACAGGGACCATTGCCATCCGCATAGAGGCCGAGGTGCTGAGCAAGTTCAAGCAGGAGGAGGAAACAGGCACAATCAAAGGTATACATGCGTGGTGTGCGGTTTTGACTACGATAGTGCTTGTTTTGTGCGTTGTGGTCGGTGTAATGTTGAGAAAGCTCAAACAAGTTGGCTACAATGCAATGTAATAACATTACATTTGTTTGCCTTGCCAATTTCTGTGCAGATTCATTCTCTGCATCCATACCATCTCTCAGTTCGGTATGCTCCTGCCCCCCCCCCCCCCTCCCACCCCCACACACACTTTCTTCATTGTTTTTGTTAGCTACTAGGCTGTACACCTGACATGTTTCGCCCTGGCCTCCATTGGAAATTAGAAAGTCCTTATGAGCCAGTAGTATTACAGGTATGGTGGTGGCTGGCACATGCGAAACTTCCTAAGCTGGTTGTGCTTCTCAACGCAATTGTATAGCCGTTGGTAACGCGGACGTGAAAACTTTACTTTCTTAATTTTTATGAGCTAGTATCACCATCTAATCCGTGCACGTATGTACTCGGCGATGATTCGCTACATACTCGTATAGTCAGCTTTGAACCCTGGAGTCTTTTCCAATCATTCACTTCATTCATGTGCCATTCATCCTTCTCGTCTCTTTTGTTGCCATGACTTTCTGATGCGCCCCCCCCCCCCTCCTTTTCCCTCCATAGTTAATATTGGATGATGAAAACTATATATTAATGTAAAATGAAAAAGAATTCTGTAATTGGCTCACCATCCGAGCTCAAAAAAGAATTGTGCTCGCACCGTCTGTTGAGTGTTTATAAGCACAGATCTGCTTGACTATTGTGCAATTCAGGAGATAAAGAAGACAGGCTTTCTGGTGCTCGAATAGAACAAGATCTAGGGTTAACCGGGTGTTAGCGGCCGTCGTGAGTTCCCTTCGGGAACGGACAGGATAATTTACTCTTTTTTTTACTTTTACTTAATAGAACAAGAACATTTATTTTTAATTTTTTACAAAAAACACACACACCATTTGACGGCACAAAGCAGCAAGGCAGCGATGAGACATATGGAATGGCAGGAGTGGGGGAGAGGCAGGGGCAGCTTGACCGACCATAGGGTCTCGGCTTCATTGCTAGGCCTTGACGGATTATGCTAGCATGATTTTTCGCATAATTCCTACCAAAATCGAATAATCGCATAATTCGAGGCAAATTGCATACGAATCGCATAAATAATAATTGGAATAATCCGCCTGTTCGCATCAAATTCCATACAGTTGTACATGTTCTACAAGTACAAGTACAAGTAGATGCACCAGGAAGTCGTAGGTTTACGACTCCCTTGATAACATGTCCAGTCCACTACAATCAGTGACGGTCGTAGCTACAATTGTAGGTCGGACGGCGCGTTGACCCCGTTGAACTTTTGCTACTACAGTACAACGCCCTATAAAATCCCCCTGTTATTTTGCACAGAACCATCATTTAGAAAAGCGATCCTGTCAGCTTTTCTATTATTGTGTTCACATGGCGCTACCTAACGACACCGCTATTCAGACACGTTGTCTACGTAGCTACGTAAGTTTCTACGTAAGATGCTCGGTACCTGGTCCTGGACCTGGACCAGGGAGCTACTCCATGGCAAGGGACCATGGCTCCTACCATCGCGCGGCCTACTGGCCGCATGCGTGTGCATTGCAGACTTTTTGTTGTTGCCTTTTTGGTTGTGCATGCACGACGAACTTCCTTCTTTGGAACTGCTTCTTGCATGAGCTGTTTCGGATATTTCGTCTCCTGGCCTGGCTTCTTTCGTTTCGGCGCTGCTGAGACCTCCTTTCGCGGAATATTACTCAATGACAGGTGAGTTGACCAGTTCCCTTTGATTCATTTGCTTGTGTTGACTCTTTCATTTACGAAAAGTATGCTGATGTTGGGCGGAATGCAATAAATAATGGAAAAGCTGACAGGATCTCCTTTCTCAATTTAGCTTTTCCGCTGCCGATGCCTCCTTTTACAGAATACTCAATGACAGGTGATCTCTGAGTTGACCAGTTTCCTTCGATTCATTTGCTTATTTGCTTATTTACGGAAACGTGTGCTGATTTTGTTCGGATTTAGATCCATTTTTATCTCTTTGCCCTTGCCTACAGTGTGCGAAGAACGCGAGTTCACCTTCTTGACGGTAAGGCTTATGTTGCTGCTGAGGCTTAGATGTGTTGTCGAAATACTCATGTTCATTGTACATTGGTAATTTACAAGGAAGGCACTGGTCAGTGGTATACTATCGTTCGCAGTTCCCAATCTGGAGGGAAAGGTTCAAGGACCCATTGACCGAGTATGCAAAATAAATTCGCATATCAGGGAAAATCTCCATTATGGAGAGGTTCAGTGACTTGTTTGCTTCATACGAAACAAGCCAATGGGTGCAGTCTCGTCTCGTGAAAATCTCGTACTTGTATGATTGGATTTGTTTACTCGAGTCTGGGCTGTTTGATTTGTGAGTACCGCCGAGATTGCACTGCCCCAAATAAAGTTGCGTGCCGCCAAAGCAAAAATTACGATCTGCAATCTGTTTGTAGTACCTGCAAGAATGTGCTGTACATGTATCGTACTTTCTCCGTTGCTGTTTCAGTGGCCGTCATGTTGCTAAAGAAAGGTTCAGTGACTCATTTGTTTCATACGAGACAAGTCGGTGTGGCTTAGAATCTTTCGCTGTAGAAAAAATCTATTCGTATGTCTATTGGAGAAATGTATTCAGGAGTGCCTTGTTTATCTCTCAGTACCTCCAGGGTACCCTGTAAGAAGGCCTTAGGCCTGCGGGGATTGCCCTATCAAAAATTTGACAAATTGATTATAATGACCTCCAACCTCCAATAGCCTTGCCCCTTTTATCCTCAGGATCAGTGTAGTTATTGGAACGAGGTGCCGGACTCAACACTGTATTTGTTTACATTTTAATACATGTTTATTGTTCCTCCTTTGCTGTGTTGTTTTAGGAAATCGTGGACTAACAGTTTGAAGCCAGTGAACTACTTCCAAAAGTTGTATCGACATCAACAGGATAACGATTTCAGTGCAGGATGACCTTATCACGATAACCCATGATTATAAACAATTATAAACACAGAATCAACAAGAACATCTGCGACACGCACCTGGCTACATTTCTCAGTAAATCTGATCGAGGGTGCGGAAATCTGAAATATCTGAAAGGCAAGACAATTTTATGACAGTCATGAAGTTCTGCAACAGCAACATGCACAGAATGCCCTGCGTATAAAAAAGTATCACCACCACTAACCACATGTTTCCCCAGCAGAAGAACATGCATTATGCTATTGCCATTTTCTGCAAGAAAAGGCTTGCACATCAATGCGTATAATACGGTATTGATATGATGTGAAGGCCATCATTTACATGTACATAGGGGCATTCCATTTATTGGTGACAGAAAAACAAAAGAAATTATAGCAATAAAAACTGCTTTATGGCAGCTTTCTAAAAAAAGTTATTGTGTTCTAGTCCTGGGTCCGGCCTAGGCTATAGAAAATTTATAAAATTGCTTCCAAACTGCCTTGGACTCCGTCTAAAAAGTAAGAAATTAATGAAATGTGATTGCCGAAAATTAAAATTTCACACAAAACCTCACAATAATCACAACACTTGACAATCAAATACTGCTTTCAACACTTGTTTAGTCTGACACTGTACTTGTACTGCACCAACATGCATGCATGGGAAAGAGGATCACGAGGGGAAAAGGTCTTCTAGCTTTTCATCCTGTGTGTGATTATTGTGAGGTTTGTGTGAAATTTTAATTTTCGGCAATCACATTTCATTAATTTCTTACTTTTTAGACGGAGTCCAAGGCAGTTTGGAAGCAATTTTATAAATTTTCTATAGCCTAGGCCGGACCCAGGACTAGAACACAATAACTTTTTTTAGAAAGCTGCCATAAAGCAGTTTTTATTGCTATAATATACATTAGCAGCATATGTGAGCATAATGCGGCATAATATGATAACTTTTAGCATAAAAATAGTAGGGCCGAAACGATTACCGGTATACCGATTACTCGTATATCACTCGTTTAATATGGATGAAATCGATAATCGATATGATCGATAACGATTTATCGATTATGACTGTACAGTGCGAGAGCGGTCATGACGTTAGTGCATGCAGACCATGCATGGCATCATGCACGCGCGTCATGCGCACAAGTACATGAACGTCGAAGTAGACGTGCATGAAGTCGTAGGTCCGTACAATCATTGCGCGCTTGATCCTTTTTGGGTAGTCCTACATAGTCACTACATTCACTGCACTAGTCAGCGTAGCCGGAAAATGTAACAACCGGAAAGCTTCATTACTGTTAGGTAGTAGCGAAACTGTGAGTGTGGCTGCCGTCCTTCTAATTTGTTCAGTTCTTGTCAAAAACTTAGTTAGTTTTGATTTTTTGGCGAGGAGAGCAGTGACAATGCTGCCGCCTGGAAAAGCGAAAGTTAGTCTGACCAAGAGATCGCCAGCGTGGGCATATTTCGAGGAAGCTGATAGAGTAGCGAGATGCCATTCGTGCAGCCGCGAATTCGTCCGTCAAAGCGGCACAACCAACTTGTTCCAGCACCTGATTTCTGCTCATAAAGACAAGTACGCCGCTGCGGTAGGGAAAGGATCAGCAACCCAGTCGACAGCAACGGCGACAACCAGCAATATTGAGCGCAGTGACAATGCGACGAACAGTGCTGGAATGAAGCCCGTCACATCGTTCTTTGGCACAGATAACTTGCGAACGTGCGACAGCAGGCGCTCAGGCATGTTGAAGGAGTCGATCATCGACTGGATTGTCGATTCCAGTCGACCCTTCTCCATTGTAGATGACAGACGACTGATCGTTGCAGAGGAACACTGCTCATATCACGTTGCAAATTTCATTTTGGTCTTTTTTGGGCCTGTGTGGATCTTTCACCCATACGTACCTGTATATAGTTGAACAAATTTAATTGTTTTTGCTGTATACCGATGTCCAACATGACACGACAAAACTTGTTCGGAAAATCGGTAAAACCAATAAATCGATCGTTAGTGTTATTGGTTAATCGTTAAGGCAAAATGGGCACTCGTTTCGGCCCTAGTTTTTGGTCTCATCGAGTGATTGGGCGAACGGATAATGATGTACATGTATGTGTATAATCTAGAATCGATTTCTGTCCCGATAATCAGTAAACTTTACGCAACTAAAGGTAACCAATGAAAGTGACTGCAGTTAAATAATCAAGCAGGGGTACAAAACACAGTACACATCAGGGTTGCCAAACAAATGCGATAAAACACTGTAGGAAGGCTAGCAAGCGAGGTGACAATCTTACAAGACAAAGTGTAGACGAACATAATCAGAAGTGTGACTTTGTACCTGATGAAGGCAAGTTGCCGAAACGTCGTAATAATGATTGTGAAACGAGTTGAACTATTGCAGTGTTAATGGAAGAGAGCGTGTGGGCACTACTCTTTTAAAACTGTTTATGAAACTGCAGGAAGCCTCCCCACTTTTGCTTAGGTTCTTTTTGTTTGACTTTTTTTTTGCATAAATCAGGCTTATGCACACGAATACAGACAGCTTCAAGGACTTTCAACTGGTTCACATAACGGGCACTCCTTCTTATCAATGAATGCACCCGTAAAGTTCATTGGTTTCCTTTAGTTCCGTAAATTCCACTGATGATCGGGACAGAAAATCGATTCTAGATTATAATAATCTACGTGGAGATAAAAGTTTAATAATAGCAATGAAAAGTATGAATGCCGCAGACATCACCACGCAACATGACAATTTGTTCAAGGTTTGGTTTTGTGTGTTTCCAAAATCGATTTTCACGTTCCGATCATCAGTGGAAATACGGAACTAAAGAGATCAAGGGAAAAACAAAGGTTAAAAATCCAAAGAAGTGTGACACATGACGGGTAACTTGTGGTAAGTATTACACACACGTTATGTCCAGCAGTTGAAGGTCCTTGAAGCTGTTTGTATTCGTACGCATAAGCCCGATTTGTGTAAGCAAAAAGAACATGTTTTAGCACTTAGGTTATTTTCGTGAGTTTGCACCCCGTGTTCATGAGTTGTTTCTGCACTGTTCATGCCCGTTTGTCACACTTACTCTTTATTTTAGTTCTCACTTTTTGTAATACTTACCACAAGTTACCCGTCATGTGTCACACTTCTTTGGATTTTTAACCTTTGTTTTTCCCTTGATCTCTTTAGTTCCGTATTTCCACTGATGATCGGAACGTGAAAATCGATTTTGGAAACACACAAAACCAAACCTTGAACAAATTGTCATGTTGCGTGGTGATGTCTGCGGCATACTTTTCATTGCTATTACTAGATTATAATAATTATTGTTATAGGATACACGTACATTGTCGAACAAGTGACTTTAGTTGCGTGATATCTGCGGCCTTCATTTTATTCATAGCTCTAATACAATATGAAGAAGAGGTTGGTGCGACTTCGGCGATAGTAGGGGAAGATTATGTTGCTCCCTACATGGGAGCTCGCGGTTTTCCTGCCGACTTGAATTCTCACTAGACTGACTCACGACTGCCATCCAGAGCACACGAGAAGTCCATCGAACCGTCCACTCGGCAAACCTGCAAGAAAGCACCACTCCCTGTTCAATACACAGTGTTTCGGGGAACTTCACTCTTCCTCAGCCTACTCAAGCTCAACTGATGAGGGGTGAATTCCCCGAAACACTGTGTATTGAGCAGGGAGTGGTGCTTTCTTGCAGGTTTGCCGAGTGGACGGTTCGATGGACTTCTCGTGTGCTCTGGATGGCAGTCGTGAGTCAAGTGAGAATTCAAGTCGGCAGGAAAACCGCGAGCTCCCATGTAGGGAGCAGCACATCCTTCCTCTAATTAATATGATTACTATTTTTTTAAACTGGCTTAAAGCATCACTGCCAGAGTAGCCCTTGGCGGATTATGCCGCCATAATATTTGGCATAATCTTTGGATTTCGTCAAAAAATTATGCTCCGGCATAATAATATACGGATTCCAACGTGTAAGGTCGCCATAATCTTTCGGTTTAGACAAAAATTATGCTTAGGGCATGGCCGTGTAGGTGTGTGTATGCGTGGTTTCTCAATCCTCTATGTACAGCGCGAATACATAGTGGAACCGAGCATAATTCCGCATAATTCAGCATATTTGTTGGCATCTATGCTCGGCCAATCGTCGTATTGACGATTGGCCGAGCATAGTACAGTATGGCTAGCGGCGACGGAAACCTAGTCAAGTGCAAACGGAAAGGTGAGTTTGGTATGGTATGATATGGCACCCCACCCTTCCACGCACACACCTCACCTCACCTCAGACATGCCCATCGCGGAAGCGATGATAGCGAACAGCTACCGGTATGTTATAACGTCAGACGCTCAGACACAGTAAAAAACTGTTTACACCATTCAACAAACACACACGCGCGCGCGCGCGAGCGCATTTCTCGCACCTCTGCGCTGCGGTGTCTGTCTAGTCTGTATCGATATCGTGAATGAATGAATGGTTTCCCTCTGTCCTGCACCCAGGCGCTAGGCGAGGCCACGGCAGTAGGATGTTCATTGTGTAATGACTATGTATATGTGGTGGTAGGGACAGCGCTGACAGTGACACTGACAGACTGCTGAACGTGGACAGGTCCGGCAGGAAAATATACGCGCGAACTTGTCGACATGTCGAAAGGACGACTGGCTTCGGTGTTCATGGTGTTGCCCTTTCGAGCGCTGGCGATGGCTGTTGGAGAGACACACTCAGCGTTCGAATCAGTGCACTGGGGAATCGTTGCAATGGTTATAATTATGTGACTGGTTCAGCCGCAGTGTAGAATTTGGCACATATTATACCGGCAGCAGTTTCCTTCTCGATGGCCGTTCCAATCTTGTCGAATGAGCTGAACAATACATGCCCGCAGAGAAGAAGACATCGAGATTCCGTCGCCCTTAGTGCTTGTTCGGAAACGGCTGACGGAAGGGACGCGTGCCGAATACTAGTGTGCTGAGCTTAGTGTTGGGTTGGCACAGCCGAGCTCGCAGCTCGAAGACGACGTTTGGTGTCTGAACAACCAGGAAAGAAGCGAGGGCTGTTTTCATCGGCATCAAGCAACTACTAGAAGGTACGTAGAGTCGTAACTGATATCCAAAGTGCCATTGCAGCGCTAGCGGGTCGTAGATCTACGTGTGTCCCAACTAAAGCCTCGCTAAAGCCTCGCTCACACTATTGAAAAAAGGTTTCGACTTTACTAGTCTTTAGTTTAGTTTAAGTGGAGCATGTCCAACGGTACATTCGTCTCCTAGAAAACCGCTTGCACACAGGACGCACCCAGGCGGCTTTTGAGAAGCGCTCCCCTGAAAGATATCGCGGACACCGGTTCTCATCTCTTGTCCTTAGTTAGTGTCTCGTGACCGGTACGGTCATGAGTGGTTCGCTTAGAATGAGTGCTCGACTCTATTCGTTGTTGTTGTTGTTGTTGTTGTTGTTGTTGCTGCTGCTGCTGCTGCTGCTGCTGCTGCTGCTGCTGCTGCTGCTGTTGTTGTTGTTGTTGTTGTTGTTGTTGTTGTTGTTGTTGTTGTTGTTGTTGTTGTTGTTGTTGTTGTTGTTGTTGTTGTTGTTGTTGTTGTTGTTGTTGTTGTTGTTGTTGTTGTTGTAGTTGTTGTTGTAGTGTAGTTGTTGTAGTGTAGTTGTTGTTGTTGTAGTTGTTGTAGTTGTTGTTTATTTATTTTACATCGCATGTCAAACAGGCAGTTCTGGCCAATATTATTTATGAAAGCGATGACAACCAGTCGTGGCCCATCGGTCATAATTAATTTTTTGTTTGAGTCACAAGTTGGAGTTGTTTATCGTGAGAGTGTCTTCGTCCCGGGTCTCAGAACGGAGAATACTTCGGACAGTCATTAAACTTGCGAGGGATTGGTCAGTGGCCACGCTAGTAGTCAGCGATAGCATTTTGTCAGCAAAACCAAGCTGAAACGATAATGGTGCTGCGTATCCAGACGAGGCGGTCACAGATTGGTCAGGTCAGACTGGCCCTGCGCAGAAGGTCCCAGACCTGGGATTTTTGGAAATACATGTATTTCCCCGAATGAATCCTTCCTGTGTAGACCAACAGCAATCCATCCATTACTACATTAGGACGCTGACCGGGATACATGTATATGGGTGAAGTGGTGGCCTGCCGATATGTGAGTATCGTTCAAAGTATGCTTGATGTGTTCCTCAATACGTCAGGTGATGCCGCCCCGAATCCAGCCAACTACTAATTTTCTCTCTCTTTTTTTTACATCAATCCATGCTTATGAAGTAATGTTGTGTCCAGGCGCTAGACTTCAAAAAATGATGTGGTTAATTTTCTAGCAGAGGTCATTTCACAGCACCGTGCCAATATTGTCAGCACGTGAGGCTGGCACAGACAGAACGTGGCTGACAACTAAACCCTGCCAGGTGTCCAAGGCTGCCGTGCCATGCACGCAGCATGCTGCCCTGTCACAAAGAGCCAGTCAGACAAGTCAAGGGGCGGGGGGGGGGGGGGGGGGAGCACTCATTTCATGTTGCATGCATCATATCAGACAGGCAGGCTCAGTGCAACGCATGCAGTTGGGGGACTAGATGAAGCAAATAGTCGCCAAATATCATTAGTTCCTACGCACCTCCTCACCAGCAGGGCACATGTACAGTATAGAGCCTACTCAAACTGCTGCACGTTTTTTTTTGCTTTTACTTTGTTTCCCCTCTGTCCATTGTACATGTATGTGCACCGTAACAAAAATAAACATGCCGTTTAATTATTATTATCATGAAAAATAAATGGGATTTAGGCCTTTGGCCTCTGGTTGTTGGATCTGATCTATACTCCCCCACCGTTTAGGAACAGCACCTGACGCCTGATCATGGGGTGGTTGCGTCCCACGGAAGCGGAAAGGTGGTTCTTTACCAGGGAGTTGTACGACTCCTTGTCCTTGACCTGCCCGGTACGCGAACCCGTCGAATTTTTTTATTATAATTTTTTTATCATATCTAGCGCAGCGTATGCAGGCCAGCCAGTACTGCAGTCTTGGCGCGAGCGCACATTGGGCAAGTGTCAGTTCCTGTCAGTACAATGCCAACTAATTACTTTCGTTCAGTGGCTGAGGGAACTGGCCTCCTAGTGATGGGTGTGCCGCAGTCACCACGTACATGACTGCACATACACTGTACAGTGCTGCTAAATGAAATCCAGTCGAGTCACTCAAGTACGCGCCGGGCGTTGCGCAGCCCCAGACCTGCGAACACTGGGCTGCGAAACGGTGCAAGGCGCAAACTTGAGTGCCGCGACTGGATTTCATTGAGCAGCATTGTACAGTCTTTAAAATGGCAATGTTGAACTCAGCTGCAATGAGACAACAGGCATGTGCCATGGCATCAGAATCTGTTTTCCGATTTTTTGCAGGATTTATATTTTAAAGCATAGCAACCAGCCACAGGTTGCCCAGCATGCACTATCACCATGGCTACCCAGCATGCACTATCACCATGGCTACCCAGCATGCTTTATAACCATGGCTACCCAGCATGCAGTGTCATTGCTTACCAGTGTGACCCAACATGGGTGTACTGGCCCATTACGATAGCTAGAAAGGTTAGTTCAAAACACACGTACGTTCATTCACTTCAGGGTCTTTTGCAGTTGACTCCGGAGTTGACTGTGACCAGCCCCCCGGTATGTAGAGTGTGCTGGGAGCGTGCCAACATAATCATTGGATGGTGCTCTCCGGCGTCTGCACTTGCCCAGGTACATGTACCGTGCAAGTATGGCGTTTGAAGACATTCTGCAGCAGCAGCGCTTCCTGTACGCGTTCTGCTTGCTCATGACGGCCTTGGTCACCGTGGAAACGGAAAAGGCCGAGAAAACGTTCACGGTCGTCGACTCCATCGACTGTCGCTACAAGTATGGGCTGTTGACGGGCACGAGTGGAGCGTGCGGCTCTTCCCGCTGCTGGATGGCCCCAAGCCTATTCCACACCCAAGGTACAGTCAAAGCCTGATAGAACGAACAGCAATGTGCAGAAAAATTAGTTCTTCATAGCCGAAATTGGTTATACAGTAAAACCTGGTTTAAGGTTAAGCGACCGCCCCACGGTGCAAGCAAAAGCGGTCATTAAAGCCAGGTGGTCTTTAGAACCAGGTCCCACAGTGTCTGTGTAGAACTGTCGGTGCATGGAAAAACGGTCGTTAAGAGCAGGTGGTCGCTAAACCCAGAGGTCGCTTACACCAGGTTTTACTGCAACAGAAATGTACTCACACCATACAACCAACACATCATGACTGGCATGCGGCACATGACTGTATGAGTGCACTTGGCTAGCGAATAACGACACTCGGCGGGGCATCAGAAAAGTGCCCTTATTCACGAAGTGTCCTTATACCCGAAGTCCCGTTTGAATGTATGTGAACCCATATTTTGTATAGTATGACATGCAGAACAGAACAACAAGGACAATCAAGGCTTGTTTGCTGCTACTTCAAGTTTCAGGCTCACGCAATCATCAGGCAACAAACAAGCCTCGATTGTCCTCGTTGTTCAGTTCTGTATTGCGCTCTGCCTCCGCGGTGTTGAGCACTGTCAGCACTCTGGGTACATCCTCCGGTATAGCATGACATTCGTATGAAAATGAAGCCTTTTCATTCTCTATGACTGTCAATGTGTACTTTATTTTCACATTTCAATTGAAAGGAAGTATAAAGTCGATGTGCAATGGAAATAAATTGAATAATTCGCCTTTTAGAGCCATCTACAGGGAGATGTACATGTACCGGCACATGTACTAAACGAAAACGGTTCGTTACAAAGGGTCAATTTCGTATGGGTTCATACAGGGACATGGCCAATGGTCCGCTATACATGTGTCACGAAATTCGCTATAATACGAGTCTGTTATAAGCGGAGTCGCCTGTACATGCACTGTACATACATTGCACTGCTAGCCCCTGCCTTCAACAACCGCATACTTTGCACACAGTCTTCTGCCTAAGATAACACCGCTGGCCATGAAACCTATAGAGCCCCCACATTCTCACGCGGCTCTTTATACAGCGCTACAAAACCCACCCTCTCCTGACACATATAGCGGCATGGTCGGCACCCCATCCTCATGTTGCCTGATGATTGCGAGAGCATGAATTTTGAAGTAGCAGCAAACAAGCCGTGATTGTCCTTGTTGTTTTGTATTCCGCTCTGCCTCTGCGGTGTTGAGCACTGTCAGCACACTGAGTACATTCTCCAGTGCATAAAATCTACAAAACTGCAATAAGAACAGTCTTGAACATTTCTTGAGGAAGAGCCTCAGTCTAAAGAAAGAACACGGACTGTTACCACTAGGCCTCGAACTTGAGCGTGAATACTTGAACAGCTCTGTATACGTGATATATTATGCAGATGCACTGTACAATCGTGTAGATGTATACAGATGTCACATACCCAGCTGTTCTCACGTGCGGCCCACTCCCCGATTTTCCCAACGCAGATTTCAGCATATCTCTCAGCAGGCGCCAGCTATGCATGGTGCGGGCACCACGCAACTCTCGCTACGTAGAGCTGTACTTCTCCATAGCTGACGTTGGCTATCCCAGTGCCAACTGCAGCTGGACTATGCTCCAGGACCGTGTAACTCTATACAAGGTGAGCTAGGAGGGAGCTTTGTAGTTTAAATGTCGGCCAGTATGGCTGGACAGACTGTATTGTCTGTATACTTCATTAGGCTTGGGGGTGAGACCGATGGGGATGTTGGGGTCTATTTTATGGCTGTATGGCTGTTCGAAAGAAATGCTCTTTAAGGCCCCAGTCTGTACCGATATGTATTTTTTCCTTAATTGCATCTTTTCTCTCAGTCTGTGGGTGGATTCACCTTCAATACTCAATGCTAGGGCTCTTTGTGTGTGTGCGTGCGTGCGCGCGCGTGTGTGTGTGTGTGTGTGTGTGTGTGCGTGTGTGTGTGTCACTGTCTCTCTTTCCCCTGTGTCGCTGCCTCTCTTTCCCCCAGTGTCGCTGTCTCTCTTTCCCCCAGTGTCGCTGTCTCTCTTTCCCCTGTGTCGCTGTCTCTCTTTCCCCTGTGTCGCTGTCTCTCTTTCCCCTGTGTCGCTGTCTCTCTTTCCCCTGTGTCACTCTCTCTTTCCCCTCTGTCGCTGCCTCTCTTTCTCCCCCATCCTCGCAGATACTGAGTAACGGCAGTCGACTCAACATCTACCAAGACCAGGGCAGATTCAACTTCCACGTGGATGTAGGCAACGCATCAAAGCCATGGTGCAGCTCAAAGCATCTCCTGCCCGTCAAGGATCCCTACTCGGATCGCTGCAGAATTGGACTTCGCCTTCTAGACGTGGAGCCGCTCTACGAGGGAATCTGGCAGTTTGCCGTTCAGCCAGCGCCCGGCTCGGCCGTCGCACCAGCCCTGCACCAATTTCACGTCCAGTGGACAGAATCGCTATGCGACACATGCTTTGGCGCCGGCAGCAAGTGCGAGCGCATCTCCTTCTCGTCCGTCTATCCCCGGCAGGTGCTTTCGGAGCCGACGTCCGCAGTTACACCGAGAGTGTTCAAGATTCCCACTGGCCAGTCCAAGTGCTTCGTATTCGTCGACACGCAAGGTATGCCTGCGGTACATTCCATATTAGGACTTCACGTAGTCTTTTAATTAAAAGTGCACTCCTGATTCCTAGTATGGCAAAACATGTTGCTGTCTAGTCCACCCCCCCCCCCCCCCCCCCTACTGCTCCATAATATGTTTTCACAGTGACAGCGTGAACAAGGCGAGTGTGAAAACATGTTACCTGTCAGACAAGGCTTGCATTATGCTCCATATTAGTAGCGCTGGTCGTGCTCACATCCCCGATGTCGCCTGAGCCTCCGCAACCGAAGCAGATACCTGGCCAGGGAAGGATCTCCTGGAGGTAAAGGTTATCCCCGGGTATGCAGGGAATCTCCCAGGAACACTCGGGGTGCGGTGCTCTGGCACTGCTCCATGGTTAGTCCGTTGATCTATCAATGCCTTTCATATGAAGAGAGGAAGCGCTAGTAGTCCCCAGGAAAGTGTTGCAGGTGCTTTACTGCTTGCTGCTGACGTCCTCATACCTGGCAAGTTGCAACCATCCCGATTTGGCCGGGACCGTCCCGCCATCGAGGGTGGTAATAGGCACCCAAAGTGTATTTGTCCCATGCCTCACAGCTATATTTGTATAGATTTTCATAGTTAGGTACGTCATTGTCCTGATCTCCCGGTTTGCAAAGGTCCCTAACAAAATAAGAAAAATAAATAAAATTTAATAATAAAGGTTGGAACTAACTGGGAATATGATGTGTCCTTTACTCGGCATCCGTCTTATACTACTATGACTACAGTGCTGGCCAAAGAAATCCAACCTCAGGAATAGAATTGCGTCAGGCGCTACGCAGCCCTAGCACTACACACACTGGTCTGTGCTCTCTCTCTCTCTCTCTCTCTCTCTCTCTCTCTCTCTCTCTCTCTCTCTCTCTCTCTCTCTCTCTCTCTCTCTCTCTCTCTCTTCTCGCTCTCTCTCTCTCTCTCTCTCTCTCTCTCTGTGTCTTTCTCTCTCTGTCTCTCTCCCTCTCTCTCTCTCTCTCTCTCTCTCCACCTCTCTCTCCCTCTCTCATCCCTCTCTCCCCTTCTCTCCCTCTCTCTCCCCTCTCTGTCTCTCTCTCTCTCTCTCTCTCTCTCTCTCTCTCTCTCTCTGTCTCTCTCTCTCTCTCTCTCTCTCTCTCTCTCTCTCCCTCTCTCTCTCTCTCTCTCTCTCTCTCTCTCTCTCTCTCTCTCTCTCTCTCTCTCTCTCTCTCTTTCTCTCTCTCTCTCTCTCTCTCTCTCTCTCTCTCTCTCTCTCTCTCTCTCTCTCTCTCTCTCTCTCTCTCTCTCTCTCCCTCTCTCTCTCTCTCTCTCTCTCTCTCTCTCTCTCTCTCTCTCTCTCTCTCTCTCTCTCTCTCTCTCTCTCTCTCTCTCTCTCTCTCCCCTCTCTCTCTCTCTCTCTCTCTCTCTCTCTCTCTCTCTCTCTCTCTCTCTCTCTCTCTCTCTCTCTCTCGGCGCTACTTTATTCATGAGGTTGGATTTCTTTGGCCAGCGCTGACTGTCTGCATCTCTCCGTATATCCCCATGTCTTGTAGATACACACGGAGGCTGGCTTGTTGCCAATGGAGCCACATCGATGCTTGCCCAGCCTGTTCAGTACACCGAGCCACGGGAGGCGGACGACTCTGACCCTGGGGCGGACCCTACAAACGTGACGGTCTACCGGGTGGGCGGTTTGACCGCGTTTGGAGACTACCACCAGTGCCTTCATATCGACCAGATGGCGCAGTCCCTGGCTGGGCTGGTCTTCTACGAGTTTAGCGACGCGTACGCTCTCGCGCACAACAACACCGCAACCGTGCCGATCCGCATCGAGGTCGGCGAGCCGAGCGGTGTCGAGGAGCAGATCGGCATAACGAGCCCTACTGTCGGTCTGCTAGTGTGGTGCTCTGTGCTCACCTTGGTCAGCCTTTGGTGGATGAAAGACAAGCTAGTTGCATGGTATGGTGGCCGTGATGGACATGAGGTACTGGGAGGTAATTGAGAGTGAGTCCAGGAATACTCGGTATGTGCTCTGAGAGCCGTTATGAGAAAATCAACTGCAATATCCTGCCAGGCTTCTGCACCTCTACCCTGGAGCACTGGCCAGCCTGCTGTGACGCTGTGAGTGTTTACACGACGACCCTTCGGTGTCCCTGGACATGGCCGTGTACAGTGTGGTGGTATGGTGCATGAATACTATGGTGTGTGCGTGTGTATGTGTTTCTGTATGTGTGTGTGTGTGTGTGTGTGTGTGTGTGTGTGTGTGTGTGTGTGTGTTTCGGTGTGTGTGTGTTTCGGTGTGTGTGTGTTTCGGTGTGTGTGTGTGTGTGTGTGTGTTTCTGTGTGTGTGTGTGTGTTTCGGTGTGTGTGTGTGTGTTTCTGTGTGTGTGTGTGTGTGTCTGTGTGCGTGTGTGTGTGTTTGGGGGTTTCAAGGGGTTTCGGCCGTTGGGCGGTTCAATAGCCAATTGAGTCATCTTTCCAAGACTCCTTTTGAGGCTCTCCCCCCCCCTCTCTCGGGGAGACCCACATGACCAGTTTCGGGAGTGAGCAACAAGTACAAGTACAGGTGTGTGTGTGTGTGTGTGTGTATGTGCGCGCACATGCTTGTGTGTGTGTGCACGTGTGTGTGGTGGAACAGTTGCTTTGGCGCGGCGTTGAGAGAAAACGTATGTGCTCTTGCTCATAATGTAGACCGAAGTGATAGTTGACTGCTCCTACTAGATCCTATGTTACTCGGATGTGATGTACCTCGGGCCGTGGAGAACAGGATCAGTGGGTGCTTAGTATCTGAGGCACATCTTATCACAATACACCATGGATCTATACACCTGTTGTACGTGTGGCTGCGCGTGTAGCTCTGTGTTGGACATGCGGCTGCGTTTGTGTCTCTGTGCCGTACATGCTGCTGACCCGTGGTACACGCTGCTGCGCTGTCTTGGAATGCTTAGTACATGCGGCTGCACCGTCTTCTGTCCCCTCTGTATGCACTTTTTCTTGTCTTTTCCCCGTTAATCATTGTACATGCATTTTCTCGTCTTGTCTCCGCTGCATTTGTCCAGTTGCGGTCTTGTGTCCGTCATATTTGATCGTCTGCTGTTTTTGTCTCCCGTCCCGTTCGGGACCAGTTATATTATACATGTGCACCTATTTCACCTCCACGCCCCACTGTTGAGCACCTATTTCGTGTCCATCGCACCTGTGCTCTGGGCAATGTCCGTACTAATCAAGGGCATGATTGCATTTTCAGAGTGCATCAACTAAGTGAGTTCCACTGTACACCATCCTTTGCTTGCTGTGTTTTGACTTCCTAGCTTCTCTGCCATGTAGTGCACACTGATAAGAATGAAGCTGAAAGGCTTCTAGAGGAAGACTCGACATTTCATTTTGATTTTCCATGATTTCGATGACGCTATCGGCTTTTGTTTTTTTGGTTTTTTTTCTACTTTCGGCCAGTCGGCTACTGTACTTCTTTTTCGTTTTGGGGGTTAGACAGGGGCAGTAGCCAGGGGAGTGAGCCGCCTTTGGGTGCCGAGAGTTGCAACTCGCTCGCCTCTACTGAGTGAAGAGAACCCATCAGGGTGCCACATGATGGGGGGGGGAGGGGGGGGGGCGAGGGTTGCTAATTCATTGCCATTTGTAACCCGATAGTACCACAGTCACGCGGTGTAGCAGCGGCGGTGGTGGTGGCTTGCTTGAAATGCAGAAATGTGGTATTTGAGTAGACGAAAATACCAGTAAGGTGGCCGTGATAAATCATTATCCCCATGGGTATGATAACAATAGCACAAGCATACAAAATAGCACAAGTTGATATGTCTAAAATAGCTTGTTTGCTACCATCGCTTCAGCGATGGGCGTGTAAATTAAGTAAGTATGGCAATATGTGAAATTTGCAAATTTCAAAAAATTCTTACTGATATAATTATTTTGATAAACAAACAGGCAGGTACCCCATTTTAAATTACAAAAAAAAACAAGAGCTAATGGGAATGATCCTGGCTGCATTGTGATGCAATAAAGAGCTCACATGTATCAAACCTTCAGTTCAAAGAAATTCACCCCAGTCAAACCATCCACTAGAAAACCAAACTGAGGGCAAGAAAATAATTATTATGAAAACCCAGCAAATAGTCAGATCAGCTGAGGTTTTTGAAAAGGGAAAAGCCCGGACAAGGATAAAAATTAATAATAATGAAGCAAACAGTCCTCAGTCTCTATTCAAATCTTTGTGTAAAGTCATTATCTGGGGTCTGATCCCGTGAGAGATCCGTACTGCCAGCAGTACCTGTCCTGGCCCGGCCAGTCGTCGACGTTTCCGTCACGGTGCCCTGAAGTGGTGGCTCTCCAGGCTCAGCCTGAACGCTCAGCAGCGAGGCGCGCTCTTCGTCATGCTGGTTGTGTTGGTGCTGCTGCTGGCCCCAGCCCCGCTGCGGGTGCGTGCCACCAGGGTCATCATGCCCCGGGTCGTTCTCGTCATCGTAGTCACCTGGCGGAGCCGACTGCGGGCGGTCGTGGAACTCGCGGTTGCGCGACCGCGCGATCTCGTAACCTGCCTGCCGGCTGCTGGTACCACGCAGGAAATCCATGAAAGACCGTTGATGCTGCTGCTGCTGCTGCGGGGGAGGATCATTGTTGGTAGCGGACAACTGGCGGTTAAAGCCTCTCTGGTTAGGATGCGCCATGCTGGTCCCACTGCCATTGCTATTGACAATGCTGGTCATGAGAGAGGGGTGGTCGTGAATGCCGGAATGCTCGGCGCTGCCGTCCGAGAAGATGTCCTCCAGCTCGCCAAAGTTAGTGATGGCACCAGCGAGAGCCGACACCGGACGGGCCGGCATGCCGGTGACAATCTCCGCCGAGCGGAGGCCGTATCGGCTTCTCGACTGTCGTGTTCGACTAGCGGCGGGAAACTGCTGCGGCGAGTGCGCTCTCGGGTCGGAGCTGGAGTCGGAGCCGCTCCAGCTGGGAGCACGCCGTCCGCTGCTGACCTTACGTTTCTGCACGCGCTGCTGTGACGGTTTGGCTCTCGGCTGCTGTATGGACGGGGAGGCGGCAACCGAGCGTGGCGAGCGACCACGATGATGCTGCTGCAGTAGCACTTGAGATTCGGCGGCTGTGCCTGGGTAGGACTGGGATTCTGTGCCCGGGTAGGACTGGGTGGATTGTGCGGTCACGATGCCTGCAACCGCTGCTGCAGCGACCAGCTCACCGCCGTGACCTGCGTCGTCTGCCTCGACGGCATTCGGGGTGTCATTGCGGTCGCTGCGCTGCAGGAACAGGGAGAAGAACAGGTGAAATGATAAATGAACTATTTATCCAGCCTGTGAACTAGGGGTGACACGAGTATCTATTTTCACCAATCGATCACTCTTAATAAAGCAATAAGATATTCCACTGATGACAGTGACATGAAAATCGATTATGGAAAACATTTGACTTCGTTGATGCATGATGGTGGCGGCAGAGTTAGTTCCTTTTGTTACTTTATTAAAATCGATCACTCATTCATAATATTCGATTGAGTATTCGTTTATTTCGAGTGTTTTATCAAAAATTCAAAAGTGCTAGATTTGTGAGTTCTCGTCCAATTCGGAAAAAATTTATCCGTGAATGTAGAACAAAAGTCGCCAACGTCTCGCGCAGAGTGTAAAGTAACGATTTTCATCAGTACTTTCATATCATATCTAACTAACGTTACTTGCTGTGGTGATCGCATCGTCCAAGTCATAAAATACCGACTCAAAGGCATGCATCATGCATGCATACCAGTGGACGAGCGGTACAACAAAAGCTTTTGAAACATTGGATGCAAAAAAATATTCAAAAATTAAAATACAGAAAAACGATCGACTCGGATGGAGAGCCACGGATTAATTCATACAAAAGAGAAAGGACCAAGGAACTAGAAGTTATGGTATACTGTCCACTAACACCACCAGTTACTACAACTACCAGTAGCCAATAATTACTGGTAGTTGAAAACGTCAGTACCGTCGGTCAGTGTCGTGTAATGTTCTCTAATGAGCTGATTGTTTAGTACCTGGTGGTGTTAGTGGACAGTATAGTGTAACTTGTAGTTCCGTGGTCTTTCTCTTTTGTATGAATATAAAAACGATCGAGTGCAAAATTTCGAATACTCTTCCGTTTGAAATTTTCGAACGATAACTCGAATATTTGAACCAATCGTTTCACCCCAACTGTGACCCAATTTTCAGACTGACCTAGACTGCCGATTCTAACACCCCCATCATGTACCGTATTTTTCCGGTTGTAAGTCGACCTTTTACGACTAAAAATAGAAGGAGAAAGGGTGGGGGTCGACTTACAACCGGGATTCGACTTATAACCGGGAACTATAAGGCGACAACAGATGCACTTGCAGCATTATGATGCAATTCGAGTCGGTTCAGAACTGTATCGGGCAGATGTTATTACTACAGGCGATACGCTTTGTACTAATCTGGCATGTTTTGCTACACAAAGTCCATTCTTAGGACCGATATATTCTATTACACGATAACATTGCTTGTAAGAATAAATATACACATGAAACCCATGTTATGATCATGAAAATATGAGAGTTCATTCTTGTAGGCAGTGTATTCTTTTACACGACCACGCTATAAGTTAACCGATATGCACTGTAGTTACGTGTAACACTCATGTTCCGTTTTTTTCCTTTTGGGTTACATTTCCCGGTTTTCTGGGTTTGCATTACATTTGTATTGCATTAAAAAAATTGTACGTTTTTTTTAAAACTCCAGCTGTGAAATACATGCGCGCGGGGGACGCGAAACATAGATAAAAAACGGTGTGGCAGAAGAATCTTACAAAAAATGACCTGCCCTGCATGCATGAGTGCACCATGTGTACACATGTTTGCCAGTTTATTGGCCTTTTTCAAGGATTGGGACGTTATACCCTCCAATAAGGAATGTTTACATGGTTTGTTGATGTGTTAGTAGCAGGGAGTGGTTGGTAGTGCTTCGTTGGGTGAAAACTTTAAAACGCATAATTGAGACCTCCGGATACGGGGGTCGACCTATAACCGGGGTCGACTTACAACCGGTAAAATACGGTATCTGACTTGCAGACACCCCCCGGGATTACTCAGCTAACAGGTGGAGTTGTCTTTGTAATCAACATACACCGGTATCACGAGGTGACGTTGGATGAACTTACAAAACCGATTGGGCTACTGCTGGTACTGGACGCGAAGCGTTCGGGCAGCGACGACGAGATGAACGGCGGGCATATGCTGTCACCACCATGCTGAGAGAGAAAGAGAAGGGGGAGAGAGAGAAGAGACAGGATGGATAGATGGGTGCACGAACACATCAACCAGGGGCGCCGGACACGGTACGGTCACTACGGTATTGACCGTACCACTCTTTGTCCCAGGTACACCGTGAATCAATAAAAGGCACCGATTTGGGTTCTATATTTCGAAAAATTCCGGCAAAGGCGCCACCCCCCCCCCCCCTACGCGCGATAGTTGGCTGGCATGACGAAGCTATTTACTACAATGGACCACATGTAAGTGATAACAATAATTGTAGGCACAGACAATAACAATTGTAGGTAGGTGATCGCACTTGAAAGATGATGTGTCAGATGCAGTTATTTTGTAACTCTAAATGAGTCAGAAAGGTTCCCCAGAGACAGAATCGTCCAGATCTGGGTTTATTACTGTAATTTTTATTTTATTTTTTATTTGAAACTCGGGTATTGAGCCAATAATAAAAGTAGAAAGGAAAAGGACATAATATGAAAACGAGTTAAGAGTAACTCTCCACCACTGTAACTAGATACTAGATACAGTCAGAAAGTGCAACAACTAGGCACAAAACTGACAGAGTACTGAGACATTCGACGTCCTGACACCTAGCTTCAACACATCTCCGTAGCGCTAACCGACAGCCTTCCAACTTGGAAGGTTGTTGCACTTTCTGACTGTATCTAGTATCTAGTTACAGTGGTGGAGAGTTACTCTTAACTCGTTTTCATATGTCCTTTTCCTTTCTACTTTTATTTTTTATTTTTTTATTTTTTATTTTTACAAAGACCACTTAATGCCAAACATGAGATGCAGCTAGGGGAAGCACGCACAACCTGAATCGTGGCAGTGGTGGTGAGGTTTAATACAAGATGTGTTGACTGAAACATATTCTATGCTTACCGCTCCACTGTTGAGATACTCAGCTAACTTCACCACGTCTTCATTGCTCGCGTTCTGCAAGTGCGGCAAGATACCCGTACAAACGCAGAATGAAGCATGTGTACACATAAGCATACAGATATGTACGTACACACACACACACACACACACACACACACACACACACACACACAGATCCCGGCTCTTTACATTCCCTAGCACCTGTACAAAGTAGCCACAGCGGTTAAACACCACTAGAAACCAGATCTGGTTAGGAAGTGATAAAACCAAAGGCGCACAGTACAGCAAGGGAAATGAGCAGACCCAAACCAAGTGCTACCTGTCCTGTTGTAGGTTCCACTGGAATAGCGACGCTTGGCGAAAGAGGAGGAATAGGGGATGCCGGGGTGGCTGCTGCTGCAGCTGCTGCTGGTGGTGCTGCTGCTGGTGGTGGTGTGCGGTCCCCATCAACACCACTCATATCATCATGTTGTTGCTGGTGGCCTCGATGCTGTACCACGATACAAACATATGTCAGAGAATAAGTTTGCATGCATGGATCTTTTACAGTTTGGTTATCATGATGTCGTTCGGCTTGGCAACACGCGGTAGACACAACTAGTGCGGATACAGCCTACAAAGATTATTAAATTTGCGACCTGGACCACACACCAGCATGTACCAGAACAAGCCAGGTTGAGTTCACTACAGGTTTCCCACTGCGGAATAGTACAGTGAAACCTGTCTAAGGCGATAGCTTAAAAGCACCTTCAAACACTAGTTCCTGTGCACAGGTGGTCTCCTTCCCCGGGGTCATTTGACTGTAAATGATATCCCTGGATCTTAGTTGTAGTGGTGTTCTGAAACATGTGGTTGCCTTATCAGAGTGATTGCCTTATCAGAGTGGTCGCATTGACAGGTTTTACTACTGTACGTTGTACTAATCCTTATAATCCATATTTCAGGATTACCCAAAGGCTGACGCATGTTACATAGTACTTTTGCATAGGGGTGTCAAGGAGTAGTAGGGTACCCGTGCTACCCGCAATTTGATCGGGTAGTAGGGCAGCAATTTCCTCCTGAGAACCCGATCGGGTAGTTGGAGTACGGTGTTTTTGCCTGAACGGTGCGTGTAAACAGCACGGCTATGTGCTTACTGTACACTTTCTATGTAGCACAAGTGTACACTCAGACTACAAACTGTGTAAAATAAATACCCGATAGGGTACCCGTGCTACCCGGATAAAAATACCCGATAGGGTACCCGTGCTACCCGGATAAAAATACCTGGACCCGTTACCCACCAAATCCCTACCCGTTGCAGCCCTACTTTTGCACAACTCACCGCCTCATGGGCACGGGTCAACGTGACGAGCATGGAGTTGTCCGGCGAATCTCTGCTAGGTGACAGTGCGCCTGCGACAGTGAGCACAGCGGAAGCAGTGTGACTTGCAACACCACCGTCGGTGACGGTGACGTCAGCCGAGCTGCTGGTGATGATGACGGTGCTGCTGGGCAAGCTACCGGTATGGGGCAGGACAGGGCTGGTCGTCTTCAGACCCGTGGGTCTAGTGCTGAGGCTTGGCAGCGTGCTGTCACTAGCACTGAGACGTGAAGTAACGGTCGGCGAGCCACCGAGACGCAGCAGAGGTTCGTTGTCGGATTCGTATCCCGATCGGCTCGCGTTGTCGGACTCGGACCCCGTTCTGTTCTCGTCGATCGGAACTGGCCGAACGTCCGGCTCGGGTGTTGGCGAGCGTGCTCTCTCGCGATCCGCTTGCGCCGGTGCTGAACTGCGGTAGCAGCTGATTAACGTTACTATGGCAACAAGAGCAACTAGGAGTAACGTTCCGGACACCGCCGTCGACGCAATCGTCAGCTCATTCCAGTTGCCTAGGAAACCACGGGAGCAGAAGGAAATGGAAGAGAGATTTCGACATGGGAATTGATCATATGCTACTTCAATCACGTCGGTGCGTTTTGCCCACACTGATTAAGCATATAGGTGTGTACAGTGAGCACACACAGTCATACACTCACCACCCTAGCTCACCCAACCAGCCACCTGTAACCCTACAGCTCTCATCATACTGAGACGCAGTATCGGCAGCACAAACCACAGCCGTGACCCTTGATTCACTACAACAGAACACGCCATGATACTTCGAAGTACTTATCAGGGAAGCGAGACAGTCCTGCAATACACACTCCGACTACGTGGGTGGCACAGTCTGCAACACAAGTGGAAAGCAACCACCTCGCTATGCGGGTTTGAGCAGGTCCCAGGCGGCAAAGGAATTCCAAAACAAAACAACACGGGAACACCAACATGCATTTGGTAAAGACTTCCAAATGGTTAGGACCTAGAGATAAAACAGGCTTTTAGGGCTGTGAGAGAAGGTGTAGCAGCAGTGTACACACTCCGTTTAGATGAGTGTGAAGAAAAAAAATGTGTGTGAACTAGCACTAAAGGGGGTGAATTGTCACTAAAGGGCAAACTGCCTGACCTTGCGCTACCAATGCCAACCTGGTATATAATGTATGCCTTGCCTGATAGGTAACGTGTTTTCACGTGACAGCGTGAACAAGGCGGCGACGCACTGTTTCCAGTACAGTGCGTTCTCGCCTTGTTCACGCTGTCATGTGAAAGCAATGCCAACTTGTTGGCGTGAAACTATACGAACAGTGAGAAATCCTTCAGCTTATGTCTTGTAGATGGTGAGGGCAATGAGGGGGGGGGGGGGGAGGGGGGAGGGGGGAGGGGGAGGGGGGGGGGGAGGGGGGGGCACATTACACTTCAACTCAAGTTCTGTATCACACAAAGAGTGTGAGACCTGCGGTGAGAAGCTCGTCATGACTCACATGACTATATCCTGGCAACAGCAGGGGCGTTGGAAGGTATGTTAGGTTGGTACAGTCAACCAAATGAAGTAAAATTTGCTGGTGGGGTGGGGGTGGTTCCTCTGAAATGTTTCGAAGTTTAGAGCCCAAATCAGCACATTTTATTGATTCACAGGGTACCTGGGGCACAAAGTGATACGGTCAATACCGTAGTGACCGTATCGTGTCCGACGCCCCCGCACCGGCAATTGACAATGCACACATGCTACCAGCCATGCCAGCATAATTATATTTCTACTGGCTGTGTCTATGTCCCCCTCGCGAAATGGTCAGCACCTCGATCAGCTGCATGACAACTCATACAGACACTCTGCTCCTTCCTATGGAGCTGTTGGCAGGTGCTACATAGATCTCCTACTGCATGCCCGTTTGCCACGGAACAATACGCGGGCGTGACAACGCTCTGCCACGTGCAGCAAAACGCCACGCGTATTGTCGTGGCGCGTGACAATGTCAGCAGATTGGCTGCACACAAGTAGTGAGTGGTGTAGGGGGGTTCTAGACCTGGCAACGACAAGCTGACGCAATGCACTCCTATGCTGTGATCATACCCCTGCCCAGCAACAATCATACTGTAGTAAAAAAGTTAAAAAAAAGTAAATTGTCATGTCCTTTACCAACGGGAACTCACGGCGGCCGCTAACACCCGGTAAACCCTAGCGGCAGATGTCGGCGCCTAACGGTGGGGGTGAGTGGATACGTCTCACAACCACTGCATGGCACAACCACTGCATGGCACAACCACTGCATGGCACAACCACTACCACATACTGTATGTAGTGCAGTACATCAAGGCAAAGATATGCTACAAGACACAGTGAACACACTACCCACTGCTCGTCCGCCTACAGGCCAAGTACCTCAAACTGACAGTCATTGGTTTTAAGTTAGACCATTGATTAACATGTGCATGTCCTGGTCAGTATTATACATAGCTACACTGGGACAACTGGTTGCACACGTATACACCTCTATCACTACCAAGCCATGGCTAAGTTTTATAAAAAAAATCAATTGTGTCCGTTCCCCGAAGGGAGCTCACGACGGCCGCTAGCACCCAGTAAACCCAAACAAAACCATGGCTGCCTCAGGGAAAACTTGTAACGTGATCCTGACAAAATCTGGCCTGCTGGACCGGTTCAACGATTAGGGTCGAATACTGTAATTTCACAAATTTTCGGTGTACTTATATTTTCGGTACTTTCGGTGCATATGTTTCATACCTAAAATGTCAATACACCGAACAAACACTAACACACATAATCGAATAGGCAGCTGCTTCTCAGTACCTAAAATTTCTGTTCACCTAACCTGGCCTTTTTGCCCTCATAACGTTACCGAAAATATTGAGCACCGAAAATCTCTGAAATAATAGACTACTAGTAACTCACTGGAAGTTTTCAGTGTGACACGGGCAGCCTGCATTGTGACGGACAATGAGCGCATGTTCTTGCTCGGCATACACGTGTAGAACCCCACCGTGCTCTCGGTGAGTTCGTCGACGACCAGGTACTGGCGCGAGTCGCCGCACACGTGCACCCCCGGCAGAGCGTCGACGTGGAGATCGGGACGCGACGAGAACAGGGCGTGCGCCGGCACACCGCGATGCGACGTGCCCACGCCGGAATAGGCCCAATGGCATGGCGACGCTGCATGTAGTCACGTGGACATACGTGCATGTAATCGCAAACAAACGCATGCACACACAAGCACATACACATGCACACATGCAGAAAGACAGCACACACACACACACACACACACACACACACACACACACACACACACACACACACACACACAGGCACCAAGATCCAATTTCACACCGAACTAGTAGTAGAGTCCGAAACAACACAATTCCAAGTCAAGACTTAAAGACCGTGTAATGTGGGATTATGTATAGCCAACCTCGTGAATAAGGACCTCGGGCGTAACAATAACTCTCAAGATAATGAAACAATCTTCAGATCTTATGACCACTGCTTGGCCGCACACTTTCAACCTGACGGATAACGAAAACTCGTCAATAACAATACTTTTCTCATGTATGGTCAAGGGTCGGTATTCGCAAGGTTGAATGAATACACACACACACTGTGCACTTACTTCCAGGGGTTGAGTTACACTGTAAACAGACCGGTGCACCTCGACTTGCCGTCACCTCGCCGAATACCAGTGGAGTGCTAAGCAACTCGCCGATGGTGGCACCTGTGCGTGCGTCATCCAACACCACGTCGCCAGCCATCCTGCACTCCACTTCGCCCTCGGCAACGAGTTGGCATGGAGACGGTGCCTGCCGGACCAGGAACGGCTGGGCGAGGAAGCCGTCGTCACTGCCGGCGCGCGTGGTAGTGTTCACGACGCACGTATACAGACCACTGGCGTCCGGTGCCATGCGATCAAACTCCATGTTTAGACTGCACGCTCGCTGATACGGATCCACGGCGCTCGGTACGTTGCACCAGAGCGAGTGACACGGCTTGGCGGCGAACGACATGTCGAACGAGAAGTTGCCACGGTAGCGCTCGGGCAGGATGTCGTACTTGAGCGTGGCATTCGGCAGCTCCTTGTACCAGCGGTTCTCATGCCGCTCCAGCGACGAGTCGCACTTGTCATCGTCGTCGACGTCCACGGCGAGATCGCAGCAGTAGATCGTCACGTTCCTGGAATCGGGCGGCAGTGATACAACGCAAGTCTCCAGGACGGCAGTCTCGCTGAACAAGCTCTGGCGCCATGTGTTATCTACATGTACAAGGGCAGATAGAAGCAACAGGAGAGAGGCACCACACCTTCCACGAATTGATACAAGGAGGGTGGGTCTAAAAGGCATTGCGTGGCAGGTAGGGCACATCTCTATGAAGTGAAAAAGACCCCAAAGAAATCCAACACTACCGTTGCCCACACTGCAAGGTTCTAGTGGGCGCGGCCCATAAAAAGACGTCTAGTCTGTGAGAATTGCTCTAGTAAAAATTTAATAATAGATACAACAACACAGGTCTTCAATGATGACCGCGGCATTATTTATACCCTGACTCTTGACACATTGGCCACTCATCGAGGCATTGACTTTTCATCGGCACGGCATGCATGCCGGTGGCGAGTTACTTGTGGAGAGGCGTACTCCCACTCAGACTGTGCCGCCATCGTGTACTGCTGTAGTTACTGGCTACAAGGCTAACACATACATGTACATGTAGCTGCTCTACATGTGGACGAAACAGTTCTGTCCGCAGATTGAGCAGCTCTACGTGACATGTAGAGCTACTCAATCTGCGGACAGAACTGTTTCGTCCACATTGTATGTGGCCGGACTGCTGACAAACATGATCGCGCATTTTTTTAATTTTTTTACTATGTTCACATTCTCAGCTCGAAAATAATAAAGAAAGACAATGACGTACTCATCGACTCCAGGGTGTCCGCGTTGACGTGACACTCGTCTTGTTCAAACGTTCCCGGCACCGCGTCCATGTAGTAGCTGTATTTGCAGGTGGGCGACTTGACGACTTCCACGCGTCTCTGCTGCGCAATGCAGATGGCACATCCCGCCACCAGTATCAGAATAGCCTGGATGTGCGTCGTGACCTGCAACGACAAAGAGAATGTGAGGGGGAAAAAGATGGGGGTTGAAACATTATACTGTATCAGCACACACACAAGGCACAATGGAGTTTTACAGAGTTGTCGCAACTCGGAGTTTCTTGCTCAATGCAATCATCAGGCGACTATTGTGTCGAGCCCTCTCCGCTGGCAGAAGGAAGTTTTCCTCCTTACTGTATCAGTACAGATTTTCGTTTGGAATAAACTTTCGCTATATTCGTTAGGGGGCACGAAATATCTAAAGTTTGTACCCAACTAAAGAACTAAAGTTTTTTTTCTTCTGAACGTTCAGGGTGACAGACCTCGACCAAAAACGAATTTTAGTACGTAACCAGCCTGCTGGTGGAGTGATCTAACGAAAGATTTCGCGAACGAAAATTTGTACTTGTACAGTACTGGTAGGTTGCGACGGAATTCTTTGGCCATGGCTGTATATGAAATACTGCACAGTGTGCTAGTAGTACATTAAAAAAATAATAATAAGTACATGCTGTGCATGTTTTTTTTTTAAATTCATATTTGCTTTGTTTTCCTAGCTTACTATTGCCGTGGCTGGCTCAACGCCCTTGTCTCAGGGGATTCTGTCTCTGCATTAGCTATGCGTGTCACATGCTATGAGATTGTGTCTAATAATAATAATAATGTGCATTATGTGCATACTAGTACTCCAAAGTAGTACATGGTCACCAGGGAATTGAACATCCAGAGATGTGCCAAAACAAAAACGTCAACCCCATCACAGTGAGGAGTCAAGTCCGGGACCTTTCTTGTCGTGAGCAATGCCCTGACTGCTTGAGCTACGCGCCCAGGCCGACCCTAGAATACACGGTGACAAAATTCATGTTTCACCCTCCATATCCACGGGTACCGAGTAGCTTATACGACAGTTCAGTTTGTCATGCTGAACAGGCACATGATTATTATTTCCGACAAAATTGGTGCGTGCATGTTGTACTGAATGGTGGACATGAGCTAGGGTGTGTCAGGTAACTTCCCTTTGCCGGAGCATTCGTAGTATGTGAACTCCTGGCAAAGAGTTTCTAGCCAGACCCGGCTGGAAAATCAGCATCCAGCTGTAAATCTCAACTGAGGTTGAAGTCATTCGCAAAATCATCATGCCGTCTGCCGTGAAGGTGTCCATCTCTGGATCAATATTGAGTGGTCTACAGTAAAGTCATGTACTACCGAACTCTTAGTGTAATACTAGTAATAGGACATACCGGGGTGGGGGGCATGAATAAACCTTGAACAGCATTACTCCGAGTAAGTGTACTTTTTCACAAGCACTGGAAACAAATGTTTTACTTAGTCTTTGTTGCTTCTTTTCATTTCAGTAACTCGCCCGGATGAACACAAACACAATGGGGCACGCCTCTCCATTCAGCCTAGATAATTTGCGTTTCATGCGCAAATCCATCCTCCCCCACTCTCCCGTTGCTCTCTTCCGTTTCATGATCAGTGCCGCCTTTGGACCTACACAGGCTCCATGCAGAGATCCCTCATTGAAGAAGATTCAGTAAGAATAAGATCGTGAATGTATGCGACCTCGTAGCTAGCTAGGCGGCAGCCAATCCGTAAAGTTTGTGGGATACTTACGTTGGACGCATGGGCTGCTCTGCTTGCGGACCGGCCAAGCGTCATCCTTCGGTGCCGCATTGCCCGCATCGAACTCAGCGGTCAAGGAATGCCCTTGTTCTCGTCCGATCACCGGCGCGGAGCACGGCCGGCATCGGCACGGGCTTTCCGCAGCTAGGTGCCAGCGGCAAACAGTCGACTCATTGTTACCCGCAATGAAAATGTGGGACTGGTGCTTGGTAGCGTTCCTGCCCTGCACAGGCGGCCGCAAAATCCTATCTTGTTCAATCAAACACGAAAACTACTCCTCAAACAGGTATCTGTCACTTCTGGGGAGGATAAGATCAGCCTGGCCTAAGTTGGGAATCAGCCTTGATCAATCCGTATCAAACAAGTCCGTTCCCTTTGCGGTGGTCGTGTCCAATATCAGCGAGGACAACTGTACAAGAGCCCCAGCAATACACGACAGACGTAGACCTACCATCAATCTCTCATTGACCAAGGCAGGACTCGGACATGCGAACGCTATCTCAATCAAGACGACACTGATTCAAGAGATACAACTGACTGTGTCAAGAAAACAAGTAAGTTTACTTCCCCGAGCTGTCGACATGCAGGCGGTGTCGCCGTGGATACCGATACTGCGATAGAGTCCGAACAAAACAAACTCCGCGATCTGTTCAGCACCAGGAACATAATCCATTATTCATAATTATCTCGAGCATCGACATGACACTTGACAGCCAAAACTGGACAACTCAGTATACTAATACTACTAATAGTAGTAATACTACACAGCGATAAATCCCTGGTTGGACATTTCTTCAAACTGGAAGTACTATCTTCGGTGGTAGACACACGACTCATGACTGGTGACTCGTGATTACTGTCTACAACATCTAGTAAACCGATACAGAAAAAAGGACATGGTCAGGAGGTCACATGGACAAACATTATGTTTGTCCATGTGACCTCCTGACCATGACCATGATGTCCCATCATGGTCATTTCTCAATCTAGTGGTAGGTCTACTGTGCACGTGGTGGTAGGTCTACTTGGTGGTGGTAGGTCATGCAGATCTACACAGTCATGCTCACGAGATCTTCGCCGTCTCCTGTCAACAGCTAGCTAGCAGTAGAGCGATGTGGTGGAGACACTAAGGCTCGTGACCTGCGGCTCACGTCGAAATTTGGAGTTTTACGCCAAATTTGACGTGAAATTGCGCGTCACGTCGGAAATAACGTACTAGTACATCTTTTAACCTCTCAGCTACTACTACACTGAGTACACTTAACTTGTACTTGACTTATTTTATTATTGGTAGTTTCTGTACAGCTGGCCTAGGGGGGGGGGGGGGGGGGGGGGAGGGTATACATTTTTTTTACAGAATGCACCTCCTACTGATAGACCATACAAAGCTAAAAAGGAGAAGAAGAAGACAAAAGAAAATAATGATCATGGTATAGGATCAACTCAGTTTGACTGATGATCATGATGATGATATATGCACGACGTGTAGATGTTCCGCGCAATCTGAGAACCCCCCCCCCCCCCCCCCAACACACACACACACACCACCACCACCACCACCAGTCACCACCCCACCACATCATCGAGTCACACGTTCGCACGCAGGAACTGTTCTGTCCCCCGGGGAAAATTGCGATTCCGCGGCCGCGTTTTTTTCCGCGTTTTTTGCGATTTTTTAAAAGACCGCGTTTTCCGCGATTTTCCCGCGTTTTTTGAACTTTTTTGTTGCACTACACGTACACACAGTGCACTGTTCGGTCAGCAACGTCTCATCGTGGCGGCTTTTTACTCAAATATGACGAGTGCTTACACCAGAGACTTGTAACTGATTGATTTCACTACATACTCACTGAAAATTGCCGCACATCAATATTATTCACCGCATAATTACCGCAAATTCACCACAAATTATGCCATATTATGCCGCGTTTTTCCCCGCGTTTTTTGCGATTTTTTCCGCAATTTTCCCCGGGGACAGACTGTTGTAATCCCAACGTCTCCAGCCAATGCAATGCTGGAGACTTGCCATGTACATGTATCACACAAAGAAGAAATACGTTGTACAGGATTGAATGCGAATGCCTCGTGACGCATACACCAAGACACCACGCCAGCAGCAGACTCACTGGCTGTACGCAGTATGCGATCATGCCAAAAAGAACCAGTATGCCGAAAGGAGAAAACAGTGCAGAGTAGCACCACTGAAATTGAAAATGAAGACGGATCAATACGCCTGAGTATGAATGTGTGTCCCTAGCCCTGAAATCATTACGGTCATTATGTCAGAACTTGCACAACAACTTTAAATACTGCAAGTCAAAGTGCTCGGAAAATATACTTTGCCCTGAGTAGAGAGATCAAAAGGAATTAGAGGGAAGCTATTGATCGCAACTACATTAGTTTACAACAAAGTGCACACAATCAGGACGTTCCTGCCATGCCTTATTACGCCTGGCATGCACTGCAGTGAAATCATTCCTGCAGCTTACTCGTATATGTCTACAGCAGCTATGTACATGGGGAGGGAAAGAAGAAGAGAGTGGGACTGTTTGGCTAAATTACAACTACATGGCGCACAGATACGTGCACCCTGGTAGATAGCAGTGCAAGAAGAAAGGCATGGCAAACATGGCACACACACACACAAAGAATCATAGCATAGAATGGTAGAGGCATGCAAAAGGATTGAGGAGGGAGGGGGGGGGTGCTCAAGGTGATGTCACAGAGACTTACACACACAACCAATGACACACGCACAACCAATGACACGCACACGCACACGCACACACACACACACACACACACACACACACACACACACACACACACACACGCGCACACTTATCAGGCAACAATGCAGTTCCGCCGTCCGATCGCTTCTCGTGCACCTGTTCTAACACACCACATCACATGCATGCACAATCCAGTAGCTGCATGGCCAAAACAAACTGGGGAAAACCAGCAGCACTGACAGCCACCGCCACAGTCACCGCATCACGCACAGGACACAGTGGCAAAGAGAATACTGGTGAGTACTAATAGCACTGGTAGCCAACACCCCCACCACATCATGCACGGGAGCGGGAACGAGTCGGCTTGTCTAATTCAACCGCTGACGGAGCAGGGTGCGCAGCGCCTTGCCCGACTCGAAGACGCTGTCGGCCCAGACGCGGAACACCTTCTTGCCGCTCGTCTGGCGGTTGCTATTGCCGACGAGCGGCAGGGGGATGCCGATGACGAGGTAGCGCTCGCCGGGCATCAGCTCGCGGCAGCAGCGCGTGTCCAGCGCGTACTGTATCTGCACTGGGTGACCCGTGCTCACCGTAAGGTCCGCGCTCATGCCCGCGTAGCTGTTGTTGTGTCGCGCGATGGGCTCCTTCAGCACCTCCTTGATCAGCGCCACGTAGGTGGACTGCAGACCGAAGCCGGCCCTGGCCTCCTTGGGTAGGTCCATCACCTGGCAGTTAGGGCCCACCATGTCAGGACCAATTGGCTCCACGATGATGGCTGAAGAATAGCACAAGAGAACGTAGATAGAGATCAATACGCCTGTTGAGCAATGACAGATTTTTGTACCATACACACCCCCAGTGTCTGCTCCAGAGTCGGGTCAGCGACCCGGTTGGAGGGTACTTGGACCCGTTTGGAGGGTACTTGGACCCATTTGGAGGGTACTTGGACCCATTAGGAAAGAGAACACCAGGTCACCTGTGACCCTGTTGGGAATGCACACCAGGGAGTCCTGTTATGTACACAGTACAGCGCCCTGATGTACATGCACATGCAGTAGCCGTACTTGAACGTACCCGGCTCTGACCCGGTTGGAAAAGTTGTGCCAGGTACACGTGCACCCGGTTGGTTTGAAATCCTAGAAGCAGACACTGACCGCACACAGCCACCTGGGCATGGTTGTGTGTGTGTGGGGGGGGGGGGGGGTGCTGAACAGTACATTGCTTATCCCATTGTACGCACATTCATTACTCATGCATTCCATATTTGGCAATTTGCAATGGGGCGTACATAATTATTATAAGACTTGATGTCACGTACACATGTACAAAGGCGTGCCGTATCCATGACCATATCCGCTTGCTTTACACAAATTAAAATCCGGCTAGCAATGGTTACCGTCCTGCCGATAGGACGGAAGTTTCCGTGCTTAATCAAAAAGCGCTTTAGAACCATTGGGATAGTGTTCGTACCTTGTATCTCTGTGTCAGGGTACATGTCAGGGTACATGTCACATGACAACCGAGTTCCCTAAGTCACGTGAACTAAAAGAAAGAAAAATTACTGTACTGCAGCATACCTGCCTCTTTCTCCCTCACTAACACATGCACAAACATACATGCACAAACACACACACACACCACACGCATGCACATACAAACACATGCACAAACGCACACACACGCACACGCACACACACACGCACACGCACACACACACACACACACACACACACACACACACACATACACAAACACACACACACACATGCACAAACACACACACACACACACACATGCACAAACATGCGCACACACACACACACACACACACACACACACACACACACACACAGTTCACAGCAGATATTCTTACCCAATGATCCCTTGTTGTAAAAGTGTCTGATATCCTTCAGCTTTGGACAGCCTGCACGAAACACACAGATACAAAGTAGCACACACACACATGCACACACGCACACACACACACACACACACGAACGCACACACAAACAAACAAACATACACGCACGGTCATAAATACACAGAACTCAAACAAAATAACGGACGGAAACAGACGCCCTAGATGACAGAATGGCTGGGTCAAAAGACCGAGTCTACCAGTGTTCCTTTTCACCCTTGCATTTCTAATTGCCGGGGCATCCTACTTTTAACACACACCAGCTCTGAGGAAAGGAGCAATGTTAACCACAGGATTAAATGCAACTCTTTGACGTCTCTGAAGCAGTTCGCGCACGGCTGCTGTTTTAAGCAGCATTCTAGGCCACGCAGAGCAGAGGCCGTGCAGGTAGCTGGCTTTAGAGTGGTATTAGTCGCTTCGTCTTGGAAATCCCTTTCCAACGGTGGCTAGTTTGTAAAACTAGGTGAATGTTTGGGACAGATACAAGCGAAAGAGCACGACATTGTTATTCGAAGGTGAGTAAATCGTCGTACTTTCAGCGGGGTCACAAAGGGCTACGAACGGTCTAGGCTAGGAGGCTGGTGTCCCCCTCCCCCCCCCCCCCCCCCCCCCCGTCCCCCCTCCCCTCCCCCCCTTGCTCAGCACCCAGCAGCACCGTACTGGGCATGAACAGAGTAAGGTAATAAATAGTTTTAGTTTCAAAAGTATGGACCTCTAGACTTTTTGGAATAATTCAAATTTGATGAAGAAAGGAAAAGGCCAAAATGTTAAGAGTTACTCGTAACATTTTGGCCTTTTCCTTTCTTCATCATAATTATATTGGCTTACCATCCGAATTCAAATTTGGTTTGAGCTTTTTGAGAAATTTCTTCGAAATATTGCACAGAGGAAGCTCCCACAATTTTCATGCTGAAAATTTCTAAGGGGCCGTCCGGGGTTACCAATAGTTTTCTCGAAACGAAAAGCTTTAGTATTTTTCAGCACCCACCCACCCACCTACCTTTTCTGCAGGTAAAACGAATTCCAATAAAATATTGATGTCAATTTTCGACACCCAGAAGTAACTGGGTATTCTCCATCTGCATTCAATAATTATTTTCAAAACGAAACTCCTTCAAACCCACCCACCCCCAAACGAAAACTTTTCGTTTTGAAAATACTATTGGTAACCTTGGACGGCCCCAAAGCGATTGGATAACAAACGCCCAATTTCGGAAATTGTATGCACAAAGTGATCACAGATTTTATAATGGTATAGATGCGGGCCTAACGGTTCTTTGAAACCAGAGGTCTGGACTTTTGAACCTCACTATAGTGAATAGGGTGTAAAAGCCTTACCTGCCATGTTGGGCTGT